CCTTTGTTGGTAAAGTAATGTCTCTGCTTTTTAATATGCTGTCTAGGTTGGTCATAGCTTTTCTTCCAAGGAGTAAGCGTTTTTTAATTTCATGGCTGCAGTTGCCATATGCAATGATTTTGGAGCACCCCAAAAAAGAAAGATAAAGAAGGTCAAGAAAGACAAAGAAGGTCTTCTGCCTCTCTTTACTTTTTCTTTGATTGTAAAACTGTAGCCCAGTAAGTTCTCAGGGTGTGGCATTTCTAGCCACCCACATGTAAGCCTTACAAGCTTCCTGTTCTAGTAAATCACTTTTTATCTACTGCTTTGCTCTCACTGAATTCTTCTCTGCACTGAGATATAAAGACTAGGGTATCAGAGCTCTTCAGAGACCCCTGAAATGACACTAATGGTTTTGATATTAAGAAAAAAATCTTATACATTTACCATGTCGTTACCATTCACTGTACTCTTCCTTCTTTCACACGGATTCAGATTTCCAACTATCATTTCTTTCTGCCATATCACTTCACTTCTTTCTATCATGTCTTTCTTTAACATTTTTCGTAGTAGATAGGTTGATGTGTTCTTTCAGATTTTGTATCTTGAAAAATTTCAGATTTTGTATCTTGTATCTTGAAAAGGCTTAACATTGCTTTAATTTTTAAAAGACATTTTTACTAGATATACAGTTCTCTAAGTTGCCTCTTTCCTTTCAGTAATTTTAAAATGTTGGCTTACTGTCTTCCTGCTTTCACTGTTTCTAACAAGAAATTTATTGTCATTCTTATGTTTTTTCCTTCATAGGGAATGTGCCTTTATTCTCTGAAGTTTGCTTTTTTATCACTGGTTTTGAGGAATTTTATTACAGTGGGCCTTAGTGTAGTTTCCTTATGTTTTCTAACACCTAGAATTCTTTGATTTTCTTGGATATGTGAGTTTATAGTTTTCCTGAAATTTGGAAAATTTTTCCTTTTTTTCCTTCAAATACTTTTCCTGATCCCTACCATCCATTTTTCAGAGCCTCCAACTGAGTGTGAAGTTATCCTACAGTTCACTGACTTTTCTGCTTATTTAAAAGTGCTTTCATTTCTCTGTATGCTTCATTTTGGATAGCTCTTTGATTATATGCTCAAGTTCAATAGTCCTTTATTTTGCAATGTCTAATTGTTAACCTGTTTGATATCTAGTACTGTGTGTATGCCAACCTCCTAATTTATCCCTTCCCAACCATTCTGATTTGGTAACCATAGTTTGTTTTCTGTGTTTGTCTTTTTCTGTTTTTTAAATAGGTTCATTTATATATTTTTTAAAATTCCACATATAAGCGATATCATATGATATTTGTCTTTGTCTGGCTTACTTATTTTTGTATTCTTATAAGTACTCTTGAGCTTTTTTGTCAGGGGAAAGGAAGATATAGTTAAATTTACCAGAAACAGTTTCATCATTTCAGATCCTGTCTTTAAGCTCTGTGTGAGTATCAATTTCTTTTAATTTTTTCCTATTGGTTCTTTCTCCACATTAGCACAGGGTCTTCTATTTTGTTGTCCCTAGAATCTAGAGCAATCCTTTCAAATTTTAACAAATCAATATCCTCAAAAATGTGGTATAGGACAGTATTTATTCTGGGATAAGTGCCACCCCCTGTGATCCTAGAAGAATGGAGAATGTATTAATAGAACTTGTTACACCATCTTGAAATTGCATGTTTGGTAAATTTTATGAGAGCAGTGAATGAGTCCATCTTGTTCAATGCCATTTCTCTAAAACTGAGTACAGTGGGAATATAAGTATTTGTGAATTCTGAATTTTTTATTCTATTTTCAAATGGGTGAGAAAATAGGTCTTTAAACGAGTTGCAGAGGTTTTTTTGTTTGCTTGTTTGTTTGCAGAACTCTAGAACAAGGAATTTTAAATAATAGACGGGGCCTCAGGAATCCCCTGAGGTTATATGTGGGGTTATAGCTGTATCTTTGTAGGTGCATGCATGAGTGCTAAGTTGCTTCAGTTGTGTCTGACTCTTTGCGACCCCATGGACTGTAGCCTACCAGTCTCCTCTTCCAGTGGGATTCTCTAGGCAAGAATACTGGAGTGGGTTGCCACGCCCTTCTCCAGGAGATCTTCTGGACACATGGATCAAACTCATGTCTCCTGAAGCTCCGGAATTGCAGGTGGCTTCTTTGGGGTTGGGCTAAAGCCTCACAGAGCCTGTTTCACATAAGTCAGCAAAGCAGGAGCATGATGTGGGTTATGTGTGGGGAGGCTTCAGGCTAGTCCCCCCATTTAGGAGGCCTTTACATCTAGAGGCCTTGGGGCATATTTGCGTTCTGTGCAGGACTTCCTTTCCTTCTTTCCACATACATTTTAATGCCTACTGAGGGTGGCACTGGGCCAGAAAGCCTTCAGTTCCCTGTTGCAAGAGATGCTGTTCTTATGGTGTTCTGCGTCATGGTCTACGTCATTTGATATCATGGGTATCCAAGGTTCCCATCTGGCCTGCTATGTAAAGATGGATAAAAGCCATCTATATTCTTTTGATTATCTGGGTATGCCCATCTTTCTAACTTACCGTAAATCACATCCAACAAATACCTCAGAATGCCTATTCTGTTACAAGCATGCCAGCTACCACTAGAACTGGTCACTGGATAAGTCCTTTGGCAACAGGTAAAGCATCCTTGCATGCAGATGACACCACCCTTATGGCAGAAAGCGAAGAGGAACTAAAGAACCTCTTGATGAAGGTGAAAGAGGAGAGTGGAAAAAACTGGCCTAAAACTCAGCATTCAATAGAGAAGATCATGGCATCCGGTTCCATCACTTCATAGCAAATAGATGGGGAAATAATGGAAACAGTGACAGACTTTATTTTCTTGGGCTCCAAAATCACTGCAGATGGTGATGGCAGTCATGAAATTAAAAAACACTTGCTCTTTGGAAGAAAAGCCATGACAAATCTACACAGCATATTAAAAAGCAGAGACATTACTTTGCTGACAAAGGTCCATCTAGTCAAAGCTGTGATTTTTCCAGTAGTCATGTATGGATGTGAGAGTTGGACATAAAGAAGACTGAGTGCCTAAAAATTGATGCTTTTGAATTGTGGTGTTGGAGAAGACTCTTGAGAGTCCCTTGGACTGCAAGGAGATCAAACCAGTCAATCCTAAAGGAAATCAACCCTGAATATTCATCGGAAGGACTGATGCTGAAGCTGAAGCTCCAATACTTTGGCCACCTGAGGTGAAGAGTCAACTCATTAGAAAAGACCCTGATGCTGGGAAAGAGTGAAGGCAGGAGGAGAAGGGGACAACAGAGGACGAGATTGTTGGATGGCATCACTGACTCAATGAACATGAGTTCGTGCAAGCTCCAGGATATAGTGAAGGACAGGGAAGCCTGGCATGCAAAAGTCCATGGGGTCACAAAGAGTTGGACATGTCTGAGCGACTAAACAACAAAAACATCAACAAAGCATCTGCAGGTTGACCTGAGGATGGGGCACTACACAGTTTCAGAGCACTGGACACCAGATCTTCCTCTTTGAAAAAATTTCCCTCCATCTTCTGTCATCTCATTCATAATACAGCTCATCTATGGCTTGAGCATAAAGAAAAGTGAGATGGAAAAAACTCACGACAGTGTCGGAAGAGGATTCGTTCCATGAATTGATTGACTCATTCATCAGTATAATATTTATTGAGCATCTACTGTGTGTCAGATGCTTTGTTGAATGATGACAGGATAAGGACTAGTGCAAAGACTAGCAGATACAGTGCTATCCTTAGTGATTTCATCAACCAACAGTGGAGGCAGACAAGTAAATGAACAGCTACAATAATGGAAGTGATAGATGGTAAGGGAGAATAAAACATAAGGCCAATATCTAATTTCTTGCAAAACCATAAATTCATTGAGAAAAATGGCATTTGTCTTTCACAGTTCCCAACTAAATGATGTATAGAGGGTAAGCACTCAGGAAAGAGTCAAAAGGCCTAGATTCGGGTCCCAGCTGTCTTTGACCAGCTATCTATCCTTTCCATTAGTCACTTCAGTTTTCTGAGCCTGTTTCCTCATCTGTAGAACTGTGACTGACAATATCAGTCCTGATTAACTCACTGTGTAATTATGAAGATCAATGGTCATGAGAAGGATATTTTGATTAATTGTAAAGATCTCTACAAAATAAAATATGCAATCATAAGTTATATCCTTAATTTTTTTGATAAAACAGATGTTCAGCACTTCGATAAGTACTGAATAATTCCTTAAAAAAGAAGAAAAAAGAAAGGAAAGAAAACCAGCAGGTAAGGATCACTGTTGCCACCTTCACAGTTCAAAGTAGGTCTAATTTGATATTTTCAGCACTCTAGATAAAAATTTTAGGTCTTCCCTGGTGGCTCTGACGGTAAAGAAGATCCCCTGGAGGAGGGCATGGCAACCCACTCCAGTATTCTTGCCTGGAGAATCCCCATGGACTGTAGCCCACCAGGCTCCTCTGTCCATGGGGTCGCAAAAAGTCAGACATAACTGAGGGACTAAGCAGCAGCAGATTATTATTTTTACATTTTACAAATCAGAGAAGTGAGGCGCCAAAGAATTTATGCAAGAGCACAAACTCTTCAAAACCCAAGCCTGGGCTGCTTGCCAAAGCTTTTGTTGAAGCTTAGTCTTTAAGTTGTGCCTGACTATTTCCGGTAACCCCATGGACTGTAGCCTGCCAGTTTCATCTGCCTACGGGGTTTCTCAGCAAGAATACTGAAGTGGGTTGCCATTTCCTACTCCAGAGGATCCAATGTAGGGATCGAACTGGCCTATCGCAACCGGTTTCTTTAGCACTGAGCTACTCCTCAACAAAAGCCAAGAGGATCGAACTCCAGAACTCTTTAGCATCTTTTCTCTGAAACCCCGCTTCCCCAGCGAGGAAAGAGCTGGCCTAGGCGTCGACTCCGCCCCATGACGTACATGGCCCCGCCTTCAGGCCCTCCACCTCTCGCGGGATCTCTCGGGAGGACGGCTGGGGTCAGGTCCCATCATGGCGGCTGAAGAGGCGGATGTGGATATCGAAGGGGACGTAGTGCCAGCGGCGGCACAGTCTGGGTGAGCGGTAGAGACTGGGCTTGCGGAGACCAGGAGGGGCACGGCTGTGAGGAGGTACCCTATAAAGGCCGCGGTTCCGGCAAGGGCCGGGGGAGTGGAAAACCATCCTCTGGGCCAGGGTCTCCTGCCGGCCAGAGAGGCGCGCCTCGCCCATTCCGTTTGTTGGCTCCTCTTGAACCCAGAGGGCGGGTACCGTAGACTAGCGTGGGACAGCCCTTTTAGCGGGATCCTGTGAGGGCGCTGACCGCGCCTGGCACATTGTATACTCTTAAGCAGTTAGATTGCTTCTTCCCTTACTGCCACCCCAGAACCCACCCCCTTGTCACCGCCCAAAAAATAATTAGAACAAGGGCTGTCCCTGGACTGAATCGAGCTTAGGAATTCTTGTTCCCTCGCTTGCAGGCCGTGTGACCTTGGGCTTGTCGTTTTATCCCTACTAGCCTCTGGTTTCCTCATTTACGTAGGGATGGTTGTGAAAAACTTCCCGACAGGCAGCGTGATCTAAAAGAAAGGAGTGGGACTTAAGAGTTGGACAGCTGTGTATTGACCCTGCTAGTTACTAGCAGTGTGACTTTGGGCCTCAGACAACTCATGTGTAAGCTGACTATCATGTTATGTACCTCATACGGTTATTGTGAAGATTAAATGAAATAATTTGGGGATGTGCTCTAGTGTAAGAGGTGCTCTGTAAGTGTGTTCTTTACCGTCCCACCCACGGATGGTATTTTGAGGACCCAGTGCGAGGTCACCATTTAGTACCAGTTCCTGCAGAGCAGGCCAGTGTGATTTTTAGAAAGCGGCCTCCAGCTTGAGACATCTAGCTGTTTGACTCCTTGCTTGCAGAGAAAGAAATCGATACATGCGGTTTTAAAGATGTGCTTTCAGAATTCTCTTTTAGTAATAGAAGAGGCCTACTTTGGTCAGGATCAGAAGACCTCAGTTCTCAACTCAGCCAGCTATGTTGCTTATAACTATGAATAAATTCATTAGAAGTCTCTACATTGAGCCAGGTAAAACTGTGAGGCTTAGACCATTTTTGACCTATGAAATAACAATTTCACATGATCCAACCTAAAAATAGCACCTTTGTAAATTGTGAAGAAGAGCACTAACCTTGCCCATGAAGGACTGAAATAGAGCCCTTTAAAGTTTTCCTGAACTTAAAACACTATAAAAATGAGAAGTAACGAAGTCTCCTTCAAATGTTAGGCAAAACAGTACAAGTCTATACAAATGAACAGAAAGCCTTTGATAACAATCTTTGACATTTGTGTAGATCAGGTTAATCTTGACCAAGTGCTTTTGCATGCATGGTTTGGTTTACTTTCCACAATAAGTGTATGAAATAAGTGTGAGGGATTCTTACCTGAAGTTCAAGAGAGATGAGCTGCCCTTGGAAACACTAAAGATTATCTGAGAGCACTGACTCTTCCCCTTTTTCCAAGGGTTTTTCTTTATTTTTATGATTGTGTTTTTCTTCTCTCTTTTTTCTTTCCTTTCTCTTATTATTCTGTCTGAGCCCAAAGTCTGCTGGTGGCACTTATAGTCACATTAGTCTCATGAAACCAGTAACCAGTTGTTGGTTCCTGATGGTCATCGTCATTGTCTCACACAATTCTTTAGAGCATCGTGAACATTACAGTCTAGTGACAGTTGGTTCCTAGTGTCGGTACTCTAATCATGTGGAATTTGGTGTGACTAAACACTTAGATGCCCCTCTGAATTGTTCAGTTATAGCTGATCATGAAATCTTGAAGATTAATTGAAAGCACACTTTTAAGTCCTTGGTAAGTGCTGGCTACCAAGTTTAGAAGATGCATTGAAATGTTTTGTTTCCCTTCTACCATTCTTTCTTATCCTCTCTTTCTTCTGCTTGTTCTTTAAATCATAGTATTCCAAGGAATGTTTGTCATAAGATTCCTACTAGCCACACAATCCATCTCTCAAGACTTAAATTTCTATCTGTTAAGTTGGACCATATGAAATTTTCCCAATGCTCCACCAATTTTGACCCACACAAATGACAGTTAATCTTAAATTCCACCTAATAGCAGGCTGATGTTGCCCAAATCTGTCACCAACTCAAGTCTCTCTCCTGATCTTTAGATCCATTTATCCATTTTCCTGAATCTTTTTTCCCTTGGGTGATCCACGAGCTCCTCAATCTCACTTTATACAAACTTTCCTTACCCAGCCTGCCTCTTCAAGTTCCCTAGTTCAATATATGGCACCATCCACCCAGTCATGCAGGGGAGAGACCTAGATTTTAACCTTTTTCCTTACCTCTCTCCTATCAGAGAGTCTGTTGATTCTGACTATCCTCAGATGTGTTCACTTCTTTCTACTCACACTGCTTGTGTTTTAGGTCTAAGTTACTGTCACTTCTCTAGTATCTATGTAATCACTCCCTCTTAACTGCTTCTTGTCTCTTTGACCCTCTTCTAGTCTTTTCTGAGGTCTTTTCTTATATACAGATCTGGTGATGGTACTCTCAACTCCCTAGAGACCTGTGTGATCCATACCCCACCTACCTTTTCACTCAATCATTCAACAAATATTGATGATCGTTTGTATGCCTAGCTCTGGATTTATAGCACTCATCCAAACTAAGTCCTTGCTCTTATGGAACTCACATTCTTATTGGATGAAACAGACAATAAACTTTATATTATAGCAGTTTCTAAGAGGTATAGCAGTTTGTAAAAAAGTATAGACTGGGAAAAGTCACTAACTAGAAAACTTTTATAACTTCAAAACATACAGAAGCAAATTTTAAATTTAATTATATCACAGATTGGGCCTCCTCAAACTTAACTATACATATGAAGTGAACAGTGTGACTTTCAGTTCAGTTGCTCAGTCATGTCTGACTCTTTGCGGCCCCATGGACTGTAGCATGCCAGGATTCCCTGTCCGTCACCAACTCCCGGAGCTTGCTCAAACTCAGGTCCATCGAGTCAGTGATGCCATCCAACCATCTCATCCCCTGTCATCCCCTTCTCCTCCCACCTTCAGTCTTTCCCAGCAACAGGGTCTCTTCCAATGAGTCAGGTCTTTGCATCAGGTGGCCAAAGTATTGGAGTTTCAGCTTCAGCATCAGTCCTTCCAATGAACACCCAGGACTGATATCCTTTAGGATGGACTGGTTGGATCTCCTTGCAGTCCAAGGGACTCTCAAGAGTCTTCTCCAACACCACAGTTCAAAAGCATCAATTTTTCAGTGCTCAGCTTTCTTCACAGTCCCAACTCTCACATCCATACATGACCACTGGAAAAACCATAGCCTTTACTAGATGGATCTTTGTTGGCAAAGTAATGCCTCTGCTTTATAATATGCTATCTAGGTTGGTCATAACTTTCCTTCCAAGGAGTAAGCGTCTTTTAATTTCATGGCTGCAGTCACCATCTGCAGTGATTTTTGGAGCCCCCAAAAATAAAGTCTGACACTGCTTCCACTGTTTCCCCATCTATTTCCCTTGAAGTGATGTGACCTGATGCCATGATCTTAGTTTTCTGAATTTTGAGAGCTTTAAGCCAACTTTTTCACTCTCCTCTTTCACTTTTATCAAGAGGCTTTTTAGTTCCTCTTCACTTTCTGCCATAAGGGTGGTGTCATCTGCATATCTGAGGTTATTGATATTTCTCCCGGCAATCTTGATTCCAGCTTGTGCTTCTTCCAGCCCAGCATTTTTCATGATGTACTCTGCATATAAGTTAAATAAGCAGGGTGACAATATACAGCCTTGACATAACCAAAAGAGTTAGAAAGTTGAATTCCTGTATAGATGTGCATATTCATCAAAAGAAATCTGAAGTGTTGGTTCATAGCCACAGAATGTGTTGTTTCTGGTTGCTGTTTGGAGGTAGTTTTTTCCTCATGGAGTTGTTTATTCTTGAGAAACAGAAGTAAACAAACTTGATGTTTAGCAATTGAAATAGGATGGAGAAAGGAACTAAATATTTGTTTAACATATGAAAGCTGTCAGTCACTGTGCTGTGTAAATTATATTCATTAACTGGTATAATTTCACTTTCATACTTATTTTCTCAATTATTACAGAAGTGATGAAAATACAGCATCTGTTTTACAAGATCATTATCTTGATTCATCATGGAGAACTGAGAATGGTCTTATTGTAAGTATTTTATGGAAATATCAGGTATATTAAGCTGTTACTCAGTGCCCAGAGTATCTCTCTCTTTTTTTTTTTTTTAAATTGGTGCTAGTTCTCAGTGGTCACAGAGGTAATATAGTGAAACCTTTTTCTTAACTTAAAAATAGAAGGGATTTATTCTTTTTTCTTTTGACTGAAAAAATGGCCTTCTGGGAAACAACTTTGGAGCCAGCTAGATTTCGGTACAAATTGGTGCTCTACCACTTTTCAGATTTGTGAACCTCAGTTTTTTCATCTAAAATACGGGGATTGTTGCCTGGTTCGTTTCTTCATTTAACAGTTATTTATCGAGTACTTGGACCTCCCTGGTAACTCGGTAAAGAACCCCCTGCCATTGTAGGAGATGCGAGTTTGATCCCTGGGCAGGAAGATCCCCTGGAGGAGGAAATGGCGACCCAGTCCAGTATTCTTGCCTGGGAAAGCCCATGGACAGAGGAGCCTGGTGGGCTACAGTCCATGGGTTCACAAGGGTCAGACACGACTTAGTGACTGAACAACTATTGAGTACTTACTATATGCCAGACACCAAGCCAGGTTTTGGGGAATACGATAATCGAGATAGACATGGTGAGGGAAACTGAAAAGGTGACATTTAAGTTGAAAATAGGAGTAGGAATGTGAAGAGTAGAGGAAAAATACTACATGCAGAAAGAACAGCAGCACAAAGGCTGTTGTTGAAACCCAGTATCTAGAATATAGTAGGAAAGGGGGAGAGGTGACAGCTGTGACAAAGTTGGGGAGGCAAATGATGGTCCTGTCATACTAGTAGGAAGCAGGAAGAAAATAAAAAAGACTAGTTAAGAAACATTTCTAGGGATCTAAGCAAGATTTGTTGATGGCATGGCCTCAGGTTGTGGCAGAAGTTGACAGATTTGAATTACGTTTTGGTGGTAGAAATTCTTGTTATATTAGGTTTGGGGATTGAGGGAAAAGGAAAGAATCCAGGATGATTCCTGGGTTTCAGGCTGGAATAGCTTGGTGACTAGTCATGCTGCTTACAGAATTGGGAGGGCAGGAGAGAAGTTGGTGAAAGTTATGTTTTGGTAAATTTTGTTTTGACTGTGAAGTTTAAGAAGCCTGTTAGGTATCCAAGTGGAAATTTTGAGTGGGTAGTTAGTTATAACAGTCTAAATAGAGCTTGGAAAAGAGACTGCTGGAAATGTTTACTTTTTAAGAGATAAAAAGAAGTATGGAGAGATTGTGGCTTAAGGGGAAAAAAGGAATTGTGGTGAGTTTTGGAAATATTAATAGGTGAGGTATCTAGCAAAATCTTAATAGTATTTTAATAGTTCCTCATACTGGATAGCCATTATTACTTTATCATGAGTAGGAGCCAGAGCCTAGGAATCTTAAGTTCAAGTCTCTTCTTTCCCGCTTGAAACGTTAGTGAGTGCTTCTATCAATGCATCTGTGAAATAGTGATGCCTATCTCATATCAAGTATCATGGGAGTCCAAAGATATGTCTGCGTGCTCAGTAAATGGTAGCTTTATTATTTGTAATCATATTATTGTATATTTTCATTTAACAAAACAGAAGTTGGTTTCAAAAAACAGTAAATAAAAAAAATTATTCTTCCTTTTTTTAATAGCCTTGGACTCTGGATAGCACCATCAGTGAAGAGAACAGAGCTGTCATTGAGAAAATGTTGTTGGAAGAAGAGTATCCTTTATTGATTATGAGGAAAGTGAAGATTTCAGTGTTAAAAATCCATTAATGCAAAACTTATCTAGCACTGTTAGTTGCTAGATACAATGCTAGTATATAATGTTACACCTACCTATTCTGTTTTACCACTAAATCTGAGATCTGACCCAATACGTTTGAGTTTCTGTTGTCAACCAATTCTTATTACCTTAATATTGAACAGATATTACAGAGTTTTGTTGTTGTTGTTGTTTTGTTTTTATTTTTTATCTTTTTGCCATGCCACATAACTTGTGGGATCTTAGTTCCCAGACCAGGGACTGAATCCATTCCCTCTTTAGGGGAGGTGTGGAGTCCTAACCGTGGAGCATCAGGGAGTTCCCATAGAGTGTTTTAAATCAGCTAGAATCCTTAGTTGGAGTCCAGATTTTCTAGTCCAGACCTCCCATTTTCAGTTATATGAGATACTAATTCATCCAAAGACTCAGAATTAGAATATGTAAAAGTTATCACTTCTTATTCTACCAATTTATAGGTGTTATTGGGAGCAATCTAAGTAAAAAGCACAAAACTATAGAATGAAGATTTTTTTTCTCCTAGAAGTTGTAGGTCATTATTCACAGTTCAGCCACTGGCTTCTTGCCCTGTTTCTTTCATCTATTTGTGATATTTACAACTTAAATTTTGGGGAACTCATATATTTTTTACATGTAAAATAAAAGGATTGAATAAAAAGTTTTCTGATTTCCTGATTTATAAAGGTTATTAATACAACTCTAATGAGTGGTTTGTTTTCAACTCATCTGTGTTTCATGGATTTTTATCTCCTTTTTAAGCCAGAATTTCTGTTCCTTTTACTCCCAGTTATTGCTGTGTTGTTTTCAGGGTGTCTCTGAACCTTTAATTATCATAGGTAAACCCCTTTTAGGCTTTCTTACTCTCCAACTCTCCCCAGTCATTACAGCTATAGCCTGGATCATTGCTTTTCGGTAGAAAAATAGTGCAAGTCACATATGTCATTTACAGTTTTCTAGTAGCCATGTTTAAAATGGGAAATTAATTATAATAACATTTTATTTGACCCAGTATCTTTAAAATATGTTTCAACATTTAATATGTAAACATTGAGATGTTTTGCATTCTTTGTTTTATACTCTTTGAAACCCAGCGTGCATTTTATATACTTAGAGTACATCTCAGTTTGTGCTAACCACATTTCAGGTATTCAGTAGCTACACATGTGGCTGTTGACCATGTGTTGAACAGTGTCATTCTAGATTAATGAATATTTAGATAGTCAGTGGTTCACTTCCAGACTTGGGAACAAAATAATGATAGTAAAAGCTATGTGAGCTCTTGGATAAACAAGGGTAATGTTTTCTTCTATCCTTCAGCACCTAGTATCTACCATGGTGCCTCATGTACATGATACACAGTCAATATTTGTTAAGAATCTAAAAGTACAACAGTATAGGCTAGGTTTAATGAGTCTGAGGTAGATTTGACCCAAACATTCATTTTATTTGTGAGGGTAGAGAACAACCCTAAACTCTTCTCTGTTACCTTCAGAAACATGAAAGCAGATACTCCTGAATTATCCTGGATGACCAATCAGATTCATCTGTTAATTCTCCATATGTGTTAGGAAAAAAAGATTTAAATAAAACAGTGAGGATGTATCTTTTCTTAGCCACTTCTAATAGGGAAGAAAGAGAAACTAGCATTTAGGTAGTACACATTTTGTGCAGGTACTGTGTATGTGTGACTTCACATGTATTATTTAATCCAGATAAAAACCGTATAAGATATAAACATTTTTGTTATAATTATTACATACCTGGAAAATTTTTTTGAGAAGAATTGGTTTCACTTGAATTTAAGTGTGACTTTCAGGATATGTGAGTGCCTGCTTTATACAAATTGCATAAGAATTTATAGGACTTTATTATTGTTTTAAAAGTTTCTTTAATAATTATACAGATATTACTTATCCAATAAGTCACTTCCAGGAAAATTCTGGCTTGATCAAAAGGAAGATGATAAAAAATACTTGAAGAGGTAAAATCAATTTATAATACTTTTAAAAGTCTGAATTGTATTTTTAAAAACTTCACAAGCTTCCTTATTTTCTTTTTTCATGTGGTGCAGTCTGCAGAAAACAGCAAAAATCATGTATGTACTTATGTTTTATACTTTAAAATCTTCTTGATTAGTTAAAAATGGGAAAAGTAAACAAGAAGTTATAGTTGGCCTGTGGAAAAATCCTCTTGACCTTGGATTTACAAAAATATAAAATCAAAATTTCTTCTACAAATGTTGGAATGTTACAAGATAATTTTGTTATATTATTTTTTTGTCAGAATCTTTATGGCCCTACATAGGCAATTTTATTGAACTAAAGGTGGTTTTCTCAGGATTTCTTCTTTAAGCTGCCCTCTCATAAATTACGAATTGACTTGACTTCTGTTGCCCTGTCTGTTAATTTTCAGTTGTTTCAAATAAAACTTTAATTTGTAGTTTTTAAAAATTATCTAGAGAAATTAAGTATTAACTGTTTATTAACATCCCTTCCCTATAATTGAAGAAGGTTTGATGTTATTCAGTGTTTCTAAGCTTGTATGTTTATAATCCCTTAGAGGGTGGACTTGTAATTACTAAGAGTTTGAGCACTGAACAGACTTTGGCTTTTGCATTTTGCTCAACAAGCAACAACAACTAAAAACTGAAGTTAAAGAAAAGATTAATGGTTCACGTCAATTAAATTAGTTGACTTCATCTCAGTTTTATTTTTAATTTCTTAATGTCCTGCATTTCAAAAGCAATAATTATAGTGTAATAGTACTTTTACCTCTTTTCCGGCTTGATGTTTACATAGATTTACATAGAAGAATCAGATGATATTTCTGGAGCCAGCTCTATCTCTGACAAGCCTCTCAGGTTTTGGAGATGTATTAACATTTGCTGCTTTGTGTCCAGTCTAAAGAAGCCTATCTGTTATCACATTGACTTCCTTTGATGTCTTTTAGTGTTATCTTCACTCAGAGCCAAGGATTCTGTCTTTGGGGGCTCCTGTCCTGAGCTAGAGAAGTATATAAGACAGGGTAAATCTGGTCCCCAAGGTGGAGGCTGCGGCCTGCTTTTTCTTCTCTTCTCTTTAATTCTTAGACTCAAAAAGTGTTAAGTTTAGCCCATGGCTATCTATAACCTTTAGCTGCATAAATATGGAATGTTCCATTTCAGAAATTTTTTTGCAATTCCTCTTTTTCCCCTCAGGGTACACTCTCCTACAAAACCAGCCAGTTACTCAGTAAAGTGGACGATAGAAGAAAAAGAGCTGTTTGAACAAGGGCTGGTAAATAGAGCAATTTTTAATTTATAGTGAAATAATTCTAGAAGCAAATATTGATAGAATTATAAGGTTAAATTAATTTATAGAGACCGAAAATTTCATTTTAATTACAGTAATCACGTTTATAGTTTTTCTGTAGTTAAATGATATAGTTAGTTAGAATGATTATGTTTGTAGTGTAGTATGAGAGAATTCCTTTTAACTCATACTTAAGTTACTAAAATATTAAAATATTGATAAACCTGACTCAATATTTTAGTAGTTTTTCACCCCTTTTTTGGTACTAATAAAACCCAAGAAATTGTACTGTATCTTTATATGTTTTATCAACCACCTGGATTGAAAGGCAAACTTATTTAATTACCTGATCTTTTCTCTTGGGGGAAAAAACTTGTGTATTTGGAACAGTCTGGGTGATCAGCTGAGTTTTTTTCAATTCCAATTTTGGCATTTGTGCACACAATCTAAATATTTTAGTGGATATAGTTAAAGACCAGAAACATTCCTTTTGCATGAATGTTTCACTGAGATCTATTTAAATGTCCACAGTTGCATAATGGAAAAAAAAAAGGTACACAAGTTTCTAATTATGAGAAAGTGCCTTAATATAATGAAACTTAACAAAATATGCAGGAATTTTATTAACTGTCTTTAGTAGATTATATTTTTTTCTTTAAGGTACATATTACCCAATATTAATTAATTTTGAAATTATATATATTTATATATTATATATGTAGAATATTTATCATGAATGCAAATTGAAACATAGTTTAAAAACTACAGAAACTATTTTGAGGGTTAAATCTCCTTCTGAGATTTTTCTCCTTTACTTTTGATGCTTTCTATACTGATATTTTAGTCTGTCGTGTGATTATCATTTATATAATCTAATAAACCAGTCATATGTTTAAGATTGCTGACAACTTTGGTGTTTGGTCCATTACCAAAGATCAGAATGTACACACAAATGGATTGTGAATTTTGGGGTTGTTATTGTTGACATTGGTGGTAGTTATAGAGGCTTAGCTCCATGGTTCAAAACTCAAATGGCACCTAAAGTTGTAGGCTGTTAAGTCTCCTTCTGACTCCTATTTCACCTTTAGTTTTCTTTGCCTATCACCTGTTCTTGTGAATCCTTCCACAAATAATTTGTCCCTATAAAAGCAAGTGTCTTTATTTAGGTACATATGTAGATATCTATATCTATCTGTGTATATATAAAGAGATATTTTTAACCTAAAATATTTTCCCACAAAAATACATGGAACCATTGGTTGTATTCTCAGCCTTGGTAACCCATTAGTATCATTTGCTTGTAATCTGAATTCTCTCAGGCTTGAGAGTAGGAAATTATGTGGTACTGAATGATGGAAGATTTTTTCTTTCTTGTCCCTTTGCTCTATTTTTAAATTGGTGAATGTTTTCTTTGCTTCTCTTGTTAGTGTCCCCTCTCCAATTTTCATAGTGCCCAAGGCCCTAGAATCCTACCTAGTCACACATTATCCAGATCTTTCCTGTTTCCAAAAGTGCTTCATGCTACCAAATTACATGTTTGCCTTCATTACACAGTGTGTGCTCAGTCACTCAGCTGTGTCCGACTCTCTGCGACCCAGTGGACTGTAGCCCACCAGGCTGCTCTGTCCGTGGGATTTTTCGGGCAGCAGTACTGGAGCAGGTTGCCGCTTCCTTCCCGGGAGATCTTCCTGACCCAGGGATCAAATCCGCTTCCCTTGTACCTCCTGCATTGGAAAGCAGGTTGTGTACCACTGGCCACCTTGGGAAGCCCTTAGCACATGATACAGATGACTAACTCTCCAGGAGTTGATCTCAGATGTTAGTTAAGAGCTATCATAAGTTATTAATTTATACTTACTGATTTTCTCAGAAGTACTTTCAGTTTTAAGAAATTGTCCATACGTCCAGAAATAAGTATGTAGGTTAAGGTTTATCATTTAGGTCAGGATAATTTATTGCCATTAGTCATGACACTCTGGCATGTAAATCTGGCCCTGAGATCAACTTCTCTGAGTTGTTATATTTTTGTTTTTGTTTTTTTTTCTTTAGACAGTTTTAGGAAATCTCAAAAAAGATTGTTGAGCTTCTTTGGGAAATGGAGAGTATCTTGTGTTAGAGATAATGTAAAGGAGATTTATGTATCAAATGATAGCCTTGATAATTAAAATACTGTCTAGCTTTAAAATTACACTGCATTCCTGTCTATACTTGAAAACACACCAGAGCTCCCTCAGGTTCTCAGTTTTTCCCTTCACAGCTTCGATGTTAGTAGGTACACTGCCTTTGAAAGTGAAGGGGTGTAGGGAGGTATTGGTTGAAGATCACTTTATTCGTGATTCAATCTTTTAAGTCAGTTTACCGTGATAGCTGAACAGTGTAAAAGTTAGAATATGTAATAGATATTTTAATATGGAATCTGAGTAAGAAAATTTTTTTGAAATTAGTGTTGGAACATAGTCAATTGATTCTATACTTGGAAAATAGAAAATACAACCCATCTCCCTTTCAATGCACTTTTTTGTTGAGTTATCCTTAATTTTGGAACATCATAATGTATAATACTGATACATACTGTAGGAGTACTTAGAAGTGATGGATCTTCATTTAGGTAGCTATAAAAAGAAATTTCTAAATCATCTGGCTTTCAGAAGGCAAGATTCAAAGAGAAGATTGTGGGCTTTGATTTTAAGAGTCTTAACTATATATGAGACTTGTGTGCTTTAGAAAACAAAAATAGATCATTTTAGATTTTTTTTTAATATGGCAGTAATTTGGAATGTTAATTAAGCTAATCAAAAGCAATTTCTTTTCCATTTTGATAACATAGGCTAAATTTGGCCGAAGGTGGACCAAAATTGCAAAGCTAATTGGAAGTCGCACTGTTTTACAAGTGAAGAGTTATGCCAGACAGTACTTTAAAAATAAGGTAAGCAGGATATAAATATCCTAGTGATCATATTTAAAATAAAATTAATAAGCATAAATAGTTCTTTAATTCAGGCATACTTGCGTATATTCTAAGTCGCTTCAGTCATGTCCAACTCTTTGTGACCCTATAAACTGTAGTCCACCAGGCTCTTCTGTCTGTGGGGAGTCTCCAGGCAAGAATACTGGAGTGGGTTCCTCCAGGGGATCTTCCCAACCCAGGGACTGAACCCATGTCTCATATCTCCTGCATTGGCAGGCGAGTTCTTTTCCACTGGTGCCACCTGGCATTAAAGTCTTAATGTTCAGAGTATTTATAGTGAAAATATTTTATACCCATAAAGTACCCTATAAATGTTCGTCTTCAAAAATCTCAAAGCATATCTTCAATGTATTGAGTATTCCTGTTAAATTGGTATTATTATGTTATTCCACTTAATTTCATGCAGTTAAGTAGGGCAAATTTTAGTTGCTCAAAAACATCCTACAAAGCAAATAGTATTCCAAAGAGAACACCTTAAGAGGTCATTGCTTCCTGGAAAATTTTTTTCCTTTTTAAATATTTGCATTAAACTTTTAAGAATTATTAGAACTTAGGGGCCAAAAATACTAACATGATTCTAAAATCTTTTTAATAGCAGTGAAACTTGTACAATTATTATGAAGAACTGTCTGAAAACTAATAAACTGCAGTGTTCGAAAATGTACAGTTACGGTCTAGTTCCTTAGTCTTGAGAGTAATTTGTGCTGTATTCAACCATGTACTTCTGATGTTTAGAATTTCTCTAATATGTTCTGCTTGAGTACTGAAAGCATAATTATATAGAATTTGAAAGTGTCTTAAGTGAAATTTGGCACTTTCTTTTCATGTAAATTGGGTTGAGTCTTGAATAAAACAGGCTTGAACTGAGCTGATCCACTTATATGTGGATTTTTTTCAATAGTCAGTAATACAGCACTGCACAATCCACTGAGGTGGAATTGCAGATGTGGAACTGCAGATACTAAGGAACCGCAAAAAGTGCAGGCCAACTTTAAGTTATATGCAGATTTTCAACTGTATGGAGGGTTGGTGCCCCTAACCCTCTGTTGTTCAAGGGTCAGCTGTATTGGGTTTTACCTTGTATACAAGACTTATCTAATTTAGTGTCATTTGGTCATAGGAAATAAGTAATGGAATTAATTCATTGTAAATCAATCAGTCTGTTCCCTCTTTTAATCAGGAAAAGCATTTTCCAGACAGTCTACTAAGGTCAAGGTATTACGAGACAGAATAAGCCCAATTTAGTTACTCTTACCCATGCTTCTCAGGCTGGTATGTGCAGGACTTCTTGCAGTGTCAGTTTTACTCCGAGGCTTGAGATGAAAGGGTACATTTTAATATTAAAAGAAATATTAATATATAATGAAATAACAATGCAAAATTTTGTCTGAAATTTTAAGCTAAAAACAAGAGACTTCAAATAAATAGCCAGGTTGTTAAAGGCTATTTCAGGCTAACTGTCCAAATTTCCTTTTCCTCTACATAGTAAGCCAGTGAACTACAAATACAGTATCCTCGGAGTCTGTTGTGATAAAGGATCTATACATAATCTCTTTTCAGGAGCTGTTATATTTTGGGTGTGTTAGTCATTTGCATGGTTTTTCAAAATTACATGTAACAAAGATTTTATTTCAAATCATATCTACTCGTTAGCATTCATTTTCTTTTCCTTATTGCATTACAACATATTTATGTTTATAATAGCAGATATGATAATTTCATGTCTTAAATTATAAGCTCTATAATATTAGAGCTATGTTAAATGAACATGCAAAAGCCAGTTTGTTTCTTTTTGTATTTAAATGAAAGATGATTTTAATTTACTCAGTAAATATATGTGAGTTTAACTAAAAGGAGTTTTTAGCATTATAAAAAATGATCTGCTGAGGTATCAGATATTCTGAGAAATAAGCCTTCGCAATATCTTAAAAATACCTTGTATGATGGTTTTTGGTTAATTCTCTATGGTTGATCTGAGCCAGATTCCCATTTTAAACTTCATACTGAAAATTAAGTATTAATAGTAGGTCATAATTATTTGATTAATCAAAGTCACCAGACCATGAGTGAGTCAAGTATATTTATGGAAATCTGAAGTGATGATCTTTTACATTTAAAATGTAGTTGTAACCCCTTCAGAAAAAGCACAGTAAAGATATACCATTGACATGTACTCAGTTTAATAACTTTGTATCTTATTTTTTGTGTGTGCCAGTGATGACATTTTAAAAATGTTAATATTATGGAGATTTTATCTTGATTTTTAATAAGGTAAAATTAGATGGTCCAGAAAAGGAAACACCAAATCAGAAGAATAGCAGTGGCTTCCTGATGAAAAATGAAGATGAAGGCACAAAGGCGTGGACACCATCAGGTTTAAGGGGACGTGCTGATCCCAACTTGAATGCTGTAAAAATTGAAAAGTTATCTGATGATGAAGAAGTAGACATCACAGATGAGACTGATGAGTTGACTTCACAAGGTCCCCAAAAGGATCTTAGCAGTGATCTCTTGTTAGACATCTCTAATAATAAAAGATCTGAAACCAGTAAAGGACTGGTTTCTGACAGCCAAGAAGATCCCATTTCTAAATCTTCCAAGGAGTATCTTCAGAATATAAAGCAAGGTGAGATGGAAACACTTTCAAGCTCAGGAATTAGACTTTGGGCTGAAAATTACAACACCAGTAACCAAAAATTAGCTGAATTAAATGATGAGAAATGTGATAAGCTGATGAAGAACTGTGATAAACATGATGGGAATGGAATACTAGATGATGCCAGACAGTTGCCTTCTCCAGAGCCTTGTGAAATTCAGAAAGACTTGAGTGATAATGAATTGCTTTTTCATTCTTCCTGCCAAATGGAGGAGGAGAGCCAAGAGGAAGAAGAGCTTAAGCCACCAGAACAAGAAATAGAAGTTGATAGAAATATCATTCAAGAAGAAGAAAAACAAGCAATTCCTGAGTTTTTTGATGGGCGCCAAGCTAAAACACCAGAACGCTATTTGAAAATTAGGAATTATATTTTGGATCAGTGGTAAGGAAAAATTGTATTTTAGATGCTATTTTAAAGCTTATGATACTCTAAAGTATGTACATGTGCCTATGCAGAATTTAGTATTTTACAGTCCTAGTGTTCCAGAGAGCTTTAACATATTAATACATTTCAGTAGGCAAGACTTGGGTTTCTTATAGTGAAACCGTTTGAAAGTTTTGGGAAATGTTGTCATCTATAGCTGTCTTAACCCATCTGTTACTTCATTAGAGTCAGTGGTCCTAAAGAAAAGGGATAAATCATTACCTTAAAAAGCAGTTTCGTAGGACAATGTTAGGAAGATATAGAAAACACTACTGAACTGGAAGAGGGGAAGAATGTCTATCTTAGTTTATGGTTTACTTTGAAGTACAAAGAGAAAACTTTGGTGTCAAGGATAGTATCATTTAATGTGGCTTGATTTCAGAAACTATTCTAAAAATCTGCCTTAAATGCTTTTGACTTTGAACTTGTGACATAATGTGTTAATAATTCCTTTATCAGAATATAGGAATTTTTTTATATATTCAGTGTACCCTCTAAATTGTCAGTACCTTTTATTTGAGTTACTTAGTGAGGGATGGGGAACAAGCCAAAAAACTTCCCACCTTATTGGCTTAAGTGCTCTGAAAGTGATTTGCATTTTTTGTAATAGTTTAATTAAGACATCATCAAGCATTCATGATTGTTACTGCTTCAGGAGCTATAAAATTGTGTAGAGCCATCTTTACAGAGGGCTTCTGTTCTGACCTAGGAAGATTACCAAAGGAAAAAACAGTAACTTTCATTTTACCCACATAATATTAAGCATTTTGACATCTAAAGAAAACCCTATTCTAAAAGAAAAAAAAATTTTTTTTCTCACTCTTAACTCTTGGTTATTTTGCAAATGATTGAGGTTGGGAAAATGCTAAGTGAGGGTGGTATCAAAGTAAAAGAATACCTATAAGGAACCACTCCTGACATTAACATAGTGTTTTATAGTTTACAGAGAGCTTTTCTGTATCTGAGTGCTCACAACAATCCTGTAAACTAGGCAGGTGGTGTTTTCTCTCTAATAGAATGAACTTGAGATCAGGAGAGGTTTAGGGACGGCCTTGGATTATACAGACCGGTTGTTGACAAAAGAAGGACTTCAACCCAAGTCTCGACTCTGTAAATCACTCTTTCCATTATTCTCCATTACCTAGTTCACACTTAAAACAGACAAATTAAATTAAATCTCCCCTGGTATCTAATTTTGTTTTTGGAAATAAGAGCATGAATGGCCAAAATTGAAGTACTTGAAAATAATGACTAAATCAAAAGTGTCTATGTAAATTATCAAAGACAATTTAATGTTACTTTAATCAAATTTCATTTGTTACTTTGAATTTTGGATTTACAAGGCAGAATAATTTATATGGGTAGCATAAATTATATGGCAATAGTTTCCTAATGTCATTGCCTTAGTTATGAAACCAGTTAAATATTGCTGTTTCAGTACAATGATTTAGCTGAACAGTATAAAAGCAAAAAGAAATGTCTTGAACAGGAACTTAAACCTATTCTCTTCAGAAATAGAACAGAGTATTTAGAGACTGGAGGCGGTGTTAAAAAAAAAAAATTGAAGTGTTCAATTTTAAAGATAAAAAAAACCTTGCTAGATTTGTTTGTAGCTAGAAGATCCTTTCCATAAAAGCACATGCAATTGACTCCCTGTTTAGGGGGCTATTTTATTAAAATAGTAACCGGTATCATTGAATACTTACTAAATGCCCGACTTTGTATTTATCTCTAGTCCTTTTTGACAGCCTTGTTTTCATGTTACAGATGAGAAATGAAGTTGAGAGAGGGAACAGAGCTTGTTCCAGGTCACATTAGGTGGAGGTGATTCCAGAGAATGCAGTCTTGACCCATTATTTTCACACTTACCACTCTGGGCCTTGACTGACTTTTCACGCTGCCTGGAATGCTTTTCCCCACTGGATTTTGGTGAATCTCACTTCTTCTTCTCTTTCAGTTCTGCTCAAGGGAGATTAGACGCCGCCTTTCTCTACCCTGTGTCTACAGTAGCTCACATATCTCCTCCCTCTCATTCTCTTACCCTGTATTTTATTTATCTTATAGAACTTTCTTACCACTTAAAATATTATATTTTTATTTGTGTTTTGTCTTGCCTCTCCCCACCCCCCATGATAAATGTAGGCTCCATGTTCATTGTTAATTGTTTTGTCCCTCCTGCTTAGAACAATGCTTGGAATACAGAGATAGATTGAAAGAATGAATCATCATTATAGCATAAACAGATATTTCCAGAGGCCTTACCATTTGTTCAGTGCTGTACTAATACTAAACTCTTTGTTGAAAGCCTTTTGATTTGTGTAATATTAATTAGACCAGTGTAGTTTATAGATTCATGGTTTTTTGTTAGCTAGTATACCCTGCCCATTCCAGCTTTCCTGCCTTCACTTGTGTAGTATGTTTACTTTTCATTCAAGGCACACTGAAGTCCCACCTTATTAATGAACTTCTGATACCCTCCCACATCCCAGGTTATCAGTACTTTTACCCTCACTGACTTTCAGAGTTTATGATTTTAAACTTGGTTTCTGCTTAGGTCTTTTCCTGACCACCCTATCTAAAATAGTCTGTACCTCTCTGCCCTACTGTATCCTCTTATCCTTCTTCTTCTGTCTTGCTAGCACTATGGCTACCTGACAATACAGTATATGTTATTTATTCATTTATTGACTTACTAGAATGTAAGGTCTGAAACTTCAGAAACTTCAGATTCATCTCTGTATCTGTGCCTGGAACAGTGCCTGATATGTAGGACACAAAATATGTATTTGTAGCATAAAGATTGATTGAGGAATTCTATGTTATGTAATATATCTGAACACTCAGTTTATAAAGTCTGTGTTTGAATCCTGTCACTTCCTTAACAAAGTGCTTTAATTTCTGTTACCTTCTTATTTCTTCATCTCAAAAGTGAGAATAATACAATCTACTTTGTAGAGTTGTATATAACCCTGAGTCTGGCATCTGTTATAAGTACTCAGTAATTGTTTGCTACTCTTACTAAGTTCCATTACCAAGACTTTATGTTGTACCATCTAGCGTGGTGATTTAGTTGTTATTCAGTCGCTCAGTCATGTCCAACTCTTTGCAACCCCATGGACTGCAGCATGCCAGGCTTCCCTGTCCTTCACCATCTCCTGGAGCTTGCTCAGACTCATGTCCATTGAGTCGGTGATGCCATCCAACCATCTTGTCCTTTGACCCCTTCTACTGCCTTCAGTCTTTCCCAGCCTCAGTGAGGAATGTGAAAGTGAAAGTCACTCAGTTGAATCCAACTCTTTGTGACCCCATGGACTGTGTACTGTATACAGGCCAGAATACTGGAGTGGATAGCCTTTCTCTTCTCCAGCGGATCTCCCCGACCCAGGAATCAAACCGGGGTCTCATGCATTGCAGGCGGATTCTTTCCCAACTGAGCTATCTGGGAAGCCCTCCCAGCATCAGGGTCTTTTCTAATAAGTCTCCTCTTCATATCAGGTGACCAAAATGTTTAGTAATTGTTTTATTATGTAAGCCTCTTCTTTCTTTCAGTCTTGGGGCGTTTCTTGATTCTTTAGCATGGAATATCGTATCTTTTCCACTGAGAGCACTTAACATTACTGGCATAATGATTAAAACTAATATATAACTTTTAAGCATTTATAATGTAGCTTGTAATTAAAAGATGCTGTCCAGCAGAGTTAAAGTAGATGAGCCTAAGCAATGTATTAAAAATTGGAATGTCTAATACTAAGCATTTTCAACATGTTATAAATGTGCCCTTTTTATTCAAAGATTGAGGCTTGCATTTGGAGTTTAATGTTGGGGAAGAAATGATACTTGTAAAAGTCATACTGTACTTGTTAATGAGTGTATCATTGAAAGTATTTTATTTCAAAAAAAAGTACACGAGTATTATGTATTAGCGTTGTATTTACTACACATTTACATATTGAGAAGGGGGTACATTTTAAAAATATTTCAAGTATTAAAAGTTTCCCCCAGAAGTCTTCTATGTTTTTATTTATCCAAAATAATTGTACTTCCATCTCTTAGGGAGATATGCAAACCGAAATACTTAAATAAGACCTCAGTACGTCCTGGCCTGAAGAACTGTGGGGATGTTAATTGTATTGGACGGATTCATACATACCTCGAGTTGATAGGAGCAATCAATTTTGGATGTGGTAAAAATAAAAACCCAACAACATCTTTTTACTCAACGTTTTTTATCCTTACAGCACCCATTAATTTCTTTGATAGTCAGTATTCAAGTAGATTTAGTATTGATAGAGAGTACAGAAAGGTGCTATAGAATAAATGTGTTTTTATACACATTTATAGAATAAATGTGTATAAAGGTATTATAGAACAAATGTATTGAGATTTTGTTTTAAAACAGATTTCTGTTGATAAACTATATTTCCTTTTAACCTGCAGTCAAAATTGGTGATTTTAAAGGAAAAATATTAAGTTTAAGTAGTAGAAATGATTTATGGATGCACTTCTTTGTCAGGTAAAGAAAATTTTATGAAAAGTTCAATCAAAGCCCATTTAATTTGGAAATACTGTATTAATGCTAGACATATTGTCTAGTGGTATTTAAATAAAATAATCTATGTGCCTTTTTACTTAAATGTAATAAAAGTGCCAAAATATTTTTTGTGGTAGAAAGTTTCTTTCACCCTAGTTTTTCTCAAATGTAAAATCATGCATATTTGTAATGTATTCTGCCCTTTTATTGAATTAACATGACATGATTTTGAAGAAAGATAATAGTTACAATAGTTGGAAAGTGATAAGTTAATTAGAATGTTGTAATCCATGGTTTGAGTGGAGTATATTCTGTGTTCTCTGTCTATGAAAAGACAACCAGAAAACTTCCTACCAGAGATTATTTCATTTCACGTAGAGATAGATAGATTTTACAGTCTGCCCTGGGATCTGTTCTTCATTTCAGTGTCTTTTCTAGACAAAAGCAAGGTACCAGGAATGGCTTTATAGGAAAACTAAGATGTCATAGCTTCCCTAGCCATGAAAAGAAAAGTGAAATCATGTTTACTGTATTAGAATACCAAAATTAGCAAAGTGGGCTTAGCACTCATTTAAGCAGAAATTAAACAAATGACCCATTTCCTGAATGTTTCATTTTATTGATATTTCCTTGTGAAATCAGCATTACTTTCATGTGAGAACTACCAAGAAGCACATCAAATGTGTATTGTGGAATAAGATAGAAACACAGATACTTAAAAAAAACTTAGAAATTGGCTTATAATTGTAGATGTGTCTTCCCATTGGACAAATAATTCTATAAAATAATAGATTATTGTGTTTTTTTTCTGGATTCCAATAGAACAGGCTGTATATAACAGGCCACAACCAGTTGACAAAGTACGAATCAGAGACAGAAAAGACACTGTAGAAGCATACCAACTTGCCCAGCGTCTGCAGTCTATGGTAAGCAGTCCTGTGTCTCACTAAATGATGGTTGAGTAAGGTGTGCCTGCTTCTCTTCACCTGTTTAACAAATGGCCATCTAGTAGAAGAGGTTTTCTTTCACGCAGGCCTTTCACTTTTCTGTTTTCATTCAGTTTCATGTTAATTTGTAGGCAAAAAACAAACCCCCCAAATCTAAAAATCATTCACAAACTTTACACAGAAGTATGATGTTTTGCTTAAAGTGGTCTTAGACTGCTTCATTTTGATATCTGTATCTAACATATCTTTTAAAACCATACATTTAAGCTCTTTTTTTTTTAAGCTCTTTTTTTCTTTCCATTTTCTTTTTGTTTGCTTAAAATTCTTGCCATAAGATTTAGCTTTTTGGAAGAGCTGTTCAAAATATTTTAGTCTTTTTTAATTCTTGAGGTTAATGAGTTTTACAGGCTTCCATGGTGGTTCAGTGGTAAAGAATCCACCTGCCAATGCAGGAGCCGCGGATTCAATGCCTGGGCCAGGAAGATCCCCTGGAGAAGGAAATGGCAACCCACTTAAGCATTCTTGCCTGGGAAAGTCCATGGACAGAATCCTGGTGGGCTGCAGTCTGTGAGGTCACAGAAAAGTCAGACATGACTGAGCAGCTAAACGGCAACGAGCTTTACAGTGTTGTAAAATGCATGCATCTTATTTTAAAAATCGGTGATCCAACAGGTCTCCCCAAAGGCAGAGTCATGCTGTGGTCTTGTTGGCTTTTCCTAATTGCTGCTGCTCTTTCGTTGGTAAGTCGTGCCTGACTCTTCTCCAGCCCTGTGGACTCTCACCCAGAGTTAGAGGCTCCTCTGTGGGATTTCCCAGGCAGGAATACTGGAGTGGGTTGCCATTTCCTTCTCCAGGGCTTTACTAATAAAACAGGTGAAATTGGCCATAGGTAAGGTAAATAGAAAAGAATAGAAGATGAAAGAGCAGCTTTCTTTCCTCAAAGAAGGTTTTCATGTACAGTTGCTGGAGTTGGTGCTAGTCATACATATTCCTAAGTCTGAGATACAATTATTTTGCTTCTAGTTTTCATTATTATACCTCTGGCTGTGTGCTCTTGCTAGTTTTCTACTATGAAGTCATTTTTGTGGTGGTTCTTCTTGGCCCTAAAAGATATTCTTTTCCTATAGTGTAACTCCAATATGGTGAAAGGAAATGAAAATTAAAGGAGAAATCGGAATAAAGTTTCAAAAATCATCACTTATTTTTGAGCAGAATGCTAACGTTGAACATAATAAAATATAGTCAGGCATTGCTGATCAGGGATTACAATAATTTAATGGAGAAATTGATGTTTAGAAAATTATCATTTTGGTTTTATATATTAATGTGCTGTGATTTCTCCAAGCTAATCTTGTTACCTTTTGCTTTATTTTTAATTTCATAACAGCGCACAAGGAGACGCAGAGTCCGAGACCCTTGGGGAAATTGGTGTGATGCAAAAGACTTGGAAGGACAGACGTTTGAGGTAACTTTGATCCCTTCAGATGACTCAGAAGTAAACATTGTTTTGTCAGTATACATTTGTGTATCTTTAACATCACATATTGCACTTGTTTTATATGTCTCCATGTATAGGTCTCTTTCCCATGTTAATTTGTTTGTCTAAAAGTCATCAATAAACAACAAAGAAAAAGATATTGAGGATGCAGTTAACTAGAAGTTTGATTTTCAGAACTGTCATTATCTGTCCCAATATTCTGGTCTTTAGCTCCAGAATATCTGTCAACATGCCAGGGAGTTGTGCCCTGTTTATTTCAGTGAACAGTTCTTGAATGATGTTCTGATATACCAATTAAAATGTCGTTCCGAGCATTAGACATAAATTGAATTACAAATATTGAAGTATTATATCTACTAACAAAACTTATGGTTCTATAAAGAAACATAGGCAGTGAATTATGTATATACATGCGTGCACACACACACCTTCTGTGACTATATAATCTGTTTGTGAACAGCCAGTGCACATTAAATGGGAAGAATGTATGAATGTGTACTACTGGCTTTGTTATATTGGGTAACTGTATTGAATCTCAGGGTTTCATTTATAATCCCCTCAAAGGTTGAATTAAATGAAATAAAATGTATGAAGGTCCTAATACTCAGTATCAGTAAGTCTTACATATACCAGGTATTCAATAAATGTTAGCTCTCTTCTTTCTCTCTTCCCCATTCCCTGCCCGCAGCCTCACACCTGAGCATTATTCTAGGCACAGCAATTAGTCACACATGGTCCCTGCCTTGAAGGAATTTACATTTCTAGTAGGAAAGATAAAACCTTTGGTGAGTTCCAACAAATTGCTTCCAAGAAATAAAAATTGACTTAACAGGTATGATCAGGGTAGGTTTCACAGAAGAAGTGATGTTTCATCTGTTACTTAGGGAATGAGCAAGAGAATCTCAAAATGTGTAAATGTAGATGAGGGACTCTCGGCTGAAAGAGACATCTAAGTAAAGATATAGACATGTACCAGACATGGGAAAATACCAGGTATAGTCTGGAAAAGGTATGTAGTTCACATGGGCTGGAGTATAAGACTGATACATGAGTGTGTGCTTAGTCGCTTCAGTCGTGTCCGACTTTGCGACCCCATGGACTCTAGCCTACCAGGCTCTTCTGTCCATGGGTTGCTATGACCTCCAGGAGATCTTCCCAACCCAGGGATCAAACCCATGACTCTCGTCTCTTGCACTGGCAGGCAGATTCTGTATCACTAGTGCCACCTAGGAAACGCAATAAGACTGGTAGTGGATATGAAATGAGTTATTTTATTTTATATTTTTGTAGGATTTACTATGTTAGACACTACTGTCAGTGTTTCACAAACATTAATTCATTTAGTCTTCACAGTAACATCATAGTGTTATTATTATTGTTCCCATTTTAAAGATGAGGAAAACAAACACAGAAAGCTTCAGTAACTTGACCAGAGTCACCCAGCTAGTGTGAGGCAGAGCCAGGCATTGTCTCTGCAGAATCTGTGCACATTAGCTTTATGCTGTGATGTCTCTCTATTTATTCTCCCTTCAGTGGTTGATGGATGCTTTGATCAAATGGTGGGGTTTTTTTTTAGCATCTCTCTGCTGAGGAGTTGGCAAGAAGAAGAGAAGAGGAAAAATGCAAGCCTGGTAAACCTTCAAAAGTACCAAGACCAACAAAAAGGTATAATGTGACAATATGCAAGTGTGATTTTGTTAATAATCATAAATGGTTAGAAAACATATGGAAGGACTATCTGATGTTGCAGCATTATTTTGTTCACTTATTAAGTTTAAAAATACTGCTGAAATTTAAGAATTTTTTTTATTTCACTGATTGTTAATTTGGGAGACCATAAGCAAAAGTTTTAATTTGTTCGTGTTCAATAAATATAGGATCCAACATATGTTGTGAGGGCCTTGTTTATGACAGGTGGTTATTTAACTCCTTAGACATTATAAACCAGTAACCTCATGAAGTAACTAGTTCCCTCTTTGGTTGGTGCTGAATGTTAGTGAGGGTCTTTTTTTTTTTTTAATATTAAAATATGTAGCTTGTAACATTAAGGGTCGCTATATAAATTAAATGCCTTGATTTTCTAGACCCTCACTTCCTGCAGATGACCCATGAAACAGACTGTAGTTTTGTCAGTGTCCCTTTTAAAACAAGATATCCAGGAACACCTCTTGGTTATTTTCAGTGGAAAAAGCCCTAATACTCAGCAGTTAGATGTTCCTGGGTAAGTTACATAATGGCTTTATAAGCCTAAGGTCCTCGTTTATAAAATAATAACTTTAACAATTAGCACTGTTAGCTATGTTTTAAGCATATCATATATATTAACTCATTTAATCCTCATAACAACCCTATGAAGTAGTTAATATAATCATTCCCATTTTATAAATGAGGAAACTGAGAGGCCACAGAGGTTATATAACTTGCCCATGCTTGTTAATGGTGGTGGTGTGATTTAACCCAGGCATTAAGGCTTAAGAATCTGTGCTTCTAACCATTACATTATATATCACCTCTCTAAAATTAAAGTCAAACTTTAGAATTGTTGTGAGAATAAATTAAATGAGATAAGCTACAGTCATCCATAAACTAGGACTCCTCATCTCATGTCCAGACACTTGATTTTCTGAATCTAAATGTGAAACATACTTACTGTAATTTTCAAGTCATTCTTCCAGTTAGGATCTTTTTGAATCCAGATCCACTTTTTTCATATTAGTCTTTGTAGCTTTGAATCATCAACATTTCAGTAAGCTTGCCTTTTCCACCACTGATCACTGATTAAAATGTTTAACTGAAATAATGCGAACTTCAGACATCATTGTTGAATCAGCTATATATTACCACTTAACCCAATTAACTCATTCTTCATCTTATGCAGAAGAATAATCATAGCAGATGTCTTGCTTACATTTAATAACTGAGTCTTTATGAGTCTTCTAGTTTCTAGCATATCATTGCTATCAAAAGTGAAATTTACGTGTATCTATCATGACTTATATTTTCATGAACCCATTATTCTTAGTCACCTCTTCACTTGCTAAAGGCTTGCAAAGCAGTTGTTAAATAACCTTTTCTAGAATTTTCCTCTGCTGCTTTTTTGGTGTTTTGGAAACAGGCCCAGTAATTGCCTATTCCTGGTCCTCCAGTAATTTTCCATTCTCTGCAGTGCCTCAAAAAGGGTTGATGGTGGTTTCAGACGATGGTTCTTCAAAGTGCTCTGGGATGTAAATGCTTTGTTTCTATTTTCCTAATTCTCTCAACCTTTTTTTTTTCTCCTCATTTTATTTGCGTTGATTAAGCACTTTCTAATTTGAATATCTTCCTCATTCAGCGAACACTTTTTAAATGCCTACTGTTCTCAGTATTTGGAATACAGTATTCAGCAAAACAAAGTATCTCATCTAGCACTAAGTCTCTGGTAGAATAGGAACTAAATAGTTCTGCTCTTTTCCGGTTGTTAACATGAACATATTCCTTGTTTATTTGCTTTCTCTGGGTGTAGCCTAAGAGTTTTTATTTTTCTCAAACCTCAGTTCTTTATTGGTCAAAGCCTTTCTAATATTTCTCTCATATTTACACATTTTTGTATCTAGCTTTGGTTCGGTAGCCCTTTTTCCATCTTTTATACTTCATTTTAAAAGATGAGTTTACCACAGAACTTTGTATAGACATTAATTTCTTTAACAGAATTGTTTGTCATTTATTCATTCAGCAAAGATTTACTGAGCGCTTCTTTTATCCTGAACACATTGTACTGACAGAAATGTTTCTGAGAAACGTCTGTCTTTGAACTTCCTTTCCTATCTTATGTCAGATCAGGTTTTCATTGAAACCTGCTTTCTGGCCATTTATAATGTTCTCTTTGGGTGTTAAAAGAAATTAAGACAACAAAATTACTTTCTCAAAGGTCCTGTTTTTTCTCAAATTTTTAGTCAAGTCCAAAAGAACCATGCTTCTTTCCAAAGGGTTATATCATAAATTCTCCTAGTTTATTATTTTTCCACTTGGACAGAATTTAGGTTTAGATTATTGGTATACATTTTCAAATTTGTAAATAAATTATGTTATTGAAATGTAAATAAATTATGTTATATTAGGAATGATTTTCGTTTCTTTTTCCTTTTCCAGCTCATTTGATCCCTTCCAACTGATACCTTGTCATTTTTTCAGTGAAGAAAAGCAGGTACTATTCATTCATTACAGAATGACCATAAATAATACCCTCCTCTCTGACATGAAGTATTCTTTTTCTGTGTGTGCAAGGCATGTGTATATGAAAGGTTGGCTAAGGCAGGGTACACTAAGGGTCAGATGAGTGATACAGGTGGAAAATGAGAAAGAATTTCTCCATGCTAGGGCTTTGAATTATACATATATTTCTTTAAAAGTCTGATTTGTGCTGAGCCTTGGTTGGTAGTGAGAACTTGGTGTGATAGATAAAGGAGAAAAGGATGGACATTCCAGTTGGAAAGAATAAAATCTCTATTTTTATGCTCCACCATTTTTTTTTTCTTATATTTCAGGAGCCATTTCAGGTGAAAGTAGCTTCAGAAGCACTTTTAATAATGGATTTGGTAAGGATATTACATTGTGTTTACTTAGTTATTCTGATTTCCATTCTTGTGTATTTTTATTGCAGGCATAAGAGAGAGTATGGAAGACGTGTATTTTGGATCTTAACTATCCTCTTTTACAAGGAATCTAAAAATAAGTCTTTTCTTTTGGAGAAAAGCCAAACAATTGCATGTTTCCATATTTTAGAGAAAATAAATTAATGTGAGTTTTTGCAGACTGTTTCTCATCATTAACCCTATTTTAATTTCCTAGTATCCTTGTCTGCTGCCTTCTAGATAACTGCAACAAAGCACAACTCTTATAATTTGGAGGCTCCTTGTTTTGCACTAAACTACTGAGATCTCCAATAGTTGTGTTTGTGTTCATGGTATTTTTCTATAGGAGGACCCAGAGTAGTTTTACTTTGTATCCTTATGATACCTTTCTTGTGTAGGGAGAGCAAAACAGTATCTTCATTGTGTAAATGTAAAAAATGGCATCTTGGAGTGTTTGAATGTTTGGTTCAGTTTCTCAGCCAGCAGTAAAGATAGGTCTTAAATCCTAAGTCTGTGTATGCTGAGCCTAGCATCTGGTTCCTCTACTGTGTTAATTCATTTTAGAAAAGTATAATTATCATACTTGTAAATGACTCTCCTATAAGTGAGATTTATTCTGGTATTTTGTCAGATGGATTTAGTTTGTATGTTTGGACTAAGTCTATCTTGTATTTCTTTTAGCATGCTCATGTTTCTATGGCAGAAGTGATTGGTCTGTTAGGAGGAAGATATTCAGAAGCTGATAAAATAATTGAGGTAAGTTTTCTCTTAAAATTTTAAAAATTATTTAGTCTTGCTGCTATACCAAGTGTTTATGTAGATTTCAGTGGATATAATTAACATATAAACTTTGTGATATAAATGAGAATATGCAAATGTAGAAAGTTATTTCTTCCCTGGGACTTCCCTGGTGACCCAGTGGTTAAGAATCTGCCTTGCAATGCAAGGGATGCAAGTTCGATCCCTGGCCTGGAAGCTGAGATCCGCATGCCGCAGGGCAGCTAAGCCTATGCGCTGCACCACGCACAGCCACGAAAGAGCCTGCGTGCCACAGCTAAGACCTGATGCAGCCAAATAAGTAAATATTTTTTTTTTAAGGAGAAAGAAAGTTATGTGTCCCTGGAGGTGACTGAACATTCCATGTATTGAGCACCTGTTTCCCTTTTCCACCGAGAAGGAGGGAACATTGCCAGGCCTTGATTCCATATTGCCTTCGCCAGTAAAAGCTTCAGCTCCTAAGAGGCCGCCTTATAATTGAAACTCGGTATACATCATTTGCTAGAAATTACCATAAATAATAGGGGTCATTGAATGACTTTTTACAAACATTAATATGAGCTGACCAACACTTCACTTGTCTGAGTAGAAAAATGGATTTTGAGTTCCTAGCATACAGTCACACTTTTGGAGAGTAATTCATTTGCAAGTAAAGGCTGCCTATGATAGAGACAAATACAAGACTTGGCTTAAAAAGTTTCTGTTCCTGTGTATGAATTCTGTGTAGAATTAACAGGATTTCAGTATAATCATTTAAGGATTAATCCTTTATAGGTCTGTGCAGCAGAACCATGTAACAGTCTGAGTACAGGACTGCAGTGTGAGATGGATCCTGTCTCACAAACACAAGCCTCGGAAACCTTGGCTGTCAGGGGCTATAGTGTTATCGGATGGTATCATTCTCACCCTGCCTTTGACCCTAATCCTTCCTTACGAGATATTGACACTCAAGCCAAATACCAGGTGTGTTTATAGGTCTTTGTGTGTATAGTCTGTAAATAATTGCACATTCTCTCCCCTCTCGTTGTTTTCTATTAATTAAATACGCTTTTAACATTTCTAGCAAAGTAATTACAAGAGTAATATATGTATTTTGTTTAATACAAACAAACCATCACAGTAATGGTGTTAATTCTTCCCAGAGCCTTTAAAAATGATGGGGCTGACTAGAACAGAGACTGGATACAACTGAAATAATTGGAAATATCATGTATTTTGCATCTCTGGAAAAAAGTTTTGTTTTATTCTGCAGTTTTGTTTGCTATCTGGATGTTTTTGCTGTTGGCAACTGATTGTAACTCGTTACCATTTTGGTAAAGATTACAGCTGAAGGGTAGTGAATATAATTTGTAAATGTATTCATAGAAAATGTAGATTATGTAAGCAAGGTGATCTTTTCGGGTTGGGTTGGACATGTTTTGGCCTGCAAAGTTAAGGGTATGGAATAAACTTCATCTAGTTGCTGTTTGGAAGTGAAGTTTCTAACACACTTTTGCATTCCCTTGTCCTCTATTGGGTGTGTAAAATGTTGGTATGGATAAATACTGACTTTTAAGTTAATGTAGTTGAAACTAATTATACTTTTTTTTTTTTTTAATTGTAGAGTTACTTCTCCAGAGGCGGTGCAAAGTTCATTGGGATGATTGTTAGTCCTTATAATCGAAATAATCCTTTACCTTATTCTCAGATTACCTGCCTGGTTATAAGTGATGAAATTAGCCCAGATGGCTCTTATCGTAAGTTTTCAACAAAAACAGTTCTACTTGTACTTTCATTTTTTTGAATCTTACAAATCACAGAATTTATACCTAGGCAGAGCAATTTGATGGAAAAATTTGTGTCCTCAGCTAGGGAATCACTGTTCACATACCATGTAGAACAGCCACCCTCTTTCCTTTTATGATTTCCTTCTACAGTAAAGTCCCCACTGTGTTACCGTGGCCACTGGGCAAAAACATTACAATGTAAAGATAACTTATGGCCAAGTAGTGTGTATATGAGGTCCTGGAGACACTGCAGTAAGCAAAACAGACAAAATCTCTTCTGTTTTCTTGAACATTTTTTGATAAATACACTTTCATTCTCTGCAGTGGCATTCAAATGAATAAAAAGATAAAAAGAACAGTGACCACCCTACCACAAGTTCTCCATGACCTCCCAGTTTAGGCTCAACAGTGCTTATTTTTATATCTATCTCAAGAAAGAATTTGGTTGGTTTAGCCCATCATGACTTGGTTCCTTTGGGGCTTATGTCCACTGCTCTTCCAATCAGTTCTGGCTGGATAGGGAATTAGACCAAGAAAGTAGGAATGTTTAAGATGGGAATGCAGATAGAAGTGAAAGATTAGAGGAAACAATTAACTTTTAGAGCATATTCTCTTTTCATCCTGATACCACTGCTCTAGTTGACTATACTCTATGGATGCTGTCGCTCTACATTGTTTTCTTTCCCATTAGCTCATGAGCCCCTTGAAGATAGATACTATATATGTATATTTTTTTTAGACGAAAGCCATTTAATTGACAGTATACAACTTTCCAAAATATATTTTTGTAAGAAAATGGCAATAAGTAATAATTTTTACAAACAGGTTTCTTAGTAAATTCCAGTGTACTTTAGACTCCTGTCCACTAAGACACAGCTCCCCCAGTCTCCTGAGCAAACTCTTTTAACATTCACTAATTTTTTAAAAAAGACGTGGAGCAAATAGTAATCCCCTCCTGTGACTCCAGGTAGGGTTTTCACCAAACTTGAGTTAATCAACTAATGACAATGATGAAAACCATTGCTTTACTTTTGCCCCCTCTGCCGTCCCATCTTGTTCCCTTTGATCCTTAGCCCTCTATGTAGAAACTATTCAAAACTATTCTTGGGAGAACACAATTATTCATTTAAGTCTTAGACCTAAATAAGCCACAGACCAGTAAGGTTCCTGTTTTTGTCTTCATGCTCTCCCTACCCTTGCTGCAGATCTGTCCTTGGTATCTCTCTGCTGCCTGCCCTTAATTAGCAGGCCTTAAGTTGGTTTCTTCCTGAGGTACACAGCACTGGACAGTTTTCCAGTCCAGGTTTTAAGCCTGTTTTCTGTCACTAAATATGTGAGTTTCACCAGGTCACTTTATCTTTCTGGGCTTCAGACTCTTCTTCTGTTAAAAAAAATAAAGATTGGACTGGGTTCTAAAACCCCTCTTCCCAACCAGGTTGCATATTGACTACAACCCTTATTGTAACATGCTGGGACTTTACAGGGAGGGGATGAGGACCATATTTAAAAATAAAAATGCCCACTCTGCAAGACAAATACTTCATCATCAGCCTATCTCATATTTCGTTTTTCATTAAAGAAAAACAAAAGCTTGTTATTTCTAGTAAAATAGACATTTATATTCCTGTTTAGAGGGGAAAAAGCCTTCTCTCTTAACAAAGGTTTTTTCGAAGTATATTCACTCAAAGCAGTGCAGGGTGGATTGACATGTGGCTGTTGTATTTACATTATCAAAAAATACGTATGTGTGTATCAGCTGGAACTGGTTTTTCAAAGTTTCTCCAGTATATTGTCAAAAAGATAAAAGCTCAAGAAGTGATTTAAATAAACTTTCTGCTAGCTTTCCTTATCAAGAAGGGAAAGAACAGTCTTGCATCTAGACTAAACCCGTATCTTGCCCTATGACGCAAAAGAATATTCTGTGCCCCCTTCATAAGCATTGCTGCGTCTGTCCCCCCTGACATGAGAGTGTGCTTCCCCCTGGATCTCGTCCAGTCATCGGATTCATGGTTTCTGAACCAGTGTGCCACCGAAATAAAAGAGTTTATAATCTCTGGCACAACTTGTTTCAAGTCAATGCTGAATTCTCGGCTTTCTTCTTTCTTCTCAGCCCCAGAATCTGAATTAACCACATAGCATCAGAGACCAGCAGAGATGTGGGAAGAAGGTGACCACTACAGATGCATGGCAATGTGGTCTTTGACATAGGTGGCAAGAACAAGCCAGGCCAAGTTGCCCAGAAGGCTAGAACAATACAGTTCAGATGCACGCAAAGAAGGAGCCTCTGAGCCAGCCTAGAGCTTGTCAAGGCTGACTCTGGACAGAGCCACAGTCATTCCTCTTGACCAAGCCTCATTTTTACTCTCTGGTCCTTTCCAGTCACCTTCTCGCTCCCCAAGAGGCCTGTGGGTTATAGCCTTTGATTAGTTTCCAGAATGTATTTGCTGTCTCTGTCTAAACCTGGCTGGTGAAATGAGACCCAGAATCAGCAAAGGAGTAATCCAGGCTGGCCTGTCCCACGGTGGCCATGATAGAAACCGACTGGGTGGAAAGAACCAAATGTTGGGTAGGAAAGAAGCAAACAGATCTTTTCCCAGTGAGACAGCATTTTCCTCTGCTGCTGCTGCTGCTAAGTCACTTCAGTCGTGTCCGACTCCGTGTGATCCCATAGATGGCAGCCCACCAGACTCCCCCGTCCCTGGGATTCTCCAGGCAAGAACACCGGAGTGGGTTGCCATTTCCTTCTCCGATAGATACTGTATTGTACTCATTTTCTACTCTCAGTTTCTAGCCCAGCGCCTGGCGTAATGTAGATTTAACAAATTAATTTCTTCATTCTTAATGATGTCACTCAGATGCCCTCTCTCTGGTAAAGACCCCAGCACCACTACCCTCTGTCTCATTTACTATTAGTTTCTGTTCTTTATGCACCTGCAACACTTGTTTCCCGCCTTCATGGTTATTTTCATCTTTTATTATAATTTATTTAGCCTGTCTCACTAAACTGTGAGCCCCAAAGAGGAGGAACTACATCTTTTTGTCTCCTGTAACACCTAATCACTTGCCTTACATGTAAGGAGTGGTCAATGCTCTATATAGTTTTATTGAATGAGTAATACAATAACTTTTTCCAAAATGCCCGTTTTGAACATAGCACATGTGTGCATGTGTGTGCACACACACACACACACATATATATATCATTCTTTACCCCAGCATAATTCTACAAAAAGTTATAAAAGGAAGAATCACAGTAAAATTGTTCTCAGTTTAAATCATGTCCTAATTTCATATACCACTAGATTTGGGGAGTGAGTCTCTACTGTGCTGTCTGATATATTCACCTGTGGCCTACATGTGATGGCTTAAATCAATTAAATTAATTAGAGTTAAATGCAATTTAAAATTTAGTCCTAGAATCCTACTTCTGGGCAAAATGAAGTAACAAGGACCTGTCTGATACAACTGAAAAATTGGACAAAATATAGAAAACAATGGTATTTATAATATCAAGCAGTGAAGGTTATGATTGCTGAGAGATGGGAAGCATGAAAGTGAGGCCAAGTTACCCTGGCTTATTAACTTAACTTCCAGGTGTGGCACAAGGAGGAGAAACCCAGCCAGAGTCTAGCTGACTCTTGAGTTGACATGATTGAGATAAGACTAAGGAGACCAGGGCAACTAAATTTGTAGGACAGAGTACCAGAGAGTAGAATGCCACCTGGAGAAACTCCAGAGATGTGTAGAAGGTTCAAATTTAGTATTTAGCAAGATAAAGACCAATGCATGTGTGTGAAGAAACTACCCCAAATGAGAAGGAATCACCCAAAAGGTTAGCAGGCCCAGTGCTGGAGGCTCACATAAGCTACTGTCAGACAGCACACAAGTGTCCATGTAAACATCACTGCAAGAAGTTCTCTTGAGTAGAGCCGCCTCTTCCACTGTTAACACTGCTTATTAGGTCTTAATCCTTGGTCCCTTGCTCCTCTTTGAAACTTTCTGGTTCAAGAGTTAATTAAAATTTCTCACAAGCCATGGGATACCTGTATTACATTACTTTGAACTGGGTGCTTGACATATTTATTTGTTTATTCATTTATTCATTAATTTATGTCTAATGGCTAATCATTTTCTCTACTTGTAATAGGCAGGAAATATACTTAGTGATTAGTTTTATTCTGACACTTAAGTGGATAAAAATAATCAGTGCATATATGTGTAATTGGATCATTTTGCTGTATACTTGAAAATAGCACATTATAAATTAATTATACCTCAATTTTAAAAAATAATAAGCCTATCAAAAGTAATCAGTACAAAAGGAAATTTTTACTGGTTTAGTGCCTTTTTTTAACTTATAAAATACTCATTACCAAATAGAGATGTATAATGTGTGTATGTGTGTGTGTGTATTTTCTTTTTTATGAGCACAGACTGAAAATGCATTTATTTATTTGCCTTTATTTTAGTCTCATTTTTTACTTCCATTAAGAATAAGAGTTGCTTACCTGGATTCAGATCCCAGCTCTGATATGTTTTTGTTATTTTATCTAGGACAGGTTACTTAATATTGCTCGTTCTCCTTTGCCACATCTCTAAAATGAGAAAAAATTATTACCTTGCTTACGGGGCATTGTAGAGACTGTCAGTAATGCATGTAAGTGCTTAGTAAATAATAGGTCTAAAGTAGGTAGTTAAAATTATTGCTGTAGCCTGTGCTTACTAGGTAATGAAAACATATCAAGTAAATGATTGTTATCACAAAAGGAGTTTGGGTAGTAGCTTATGTACTATAAAGTGTCACTCTTCTTAAGTTCTTGGAGGGGGGAAATGAAATGGAAGAGAATTGAGAAATGAAAAAAATCAGCTGTCATCATGCTGTTCCCTTCTCTCCTTCCATACACCTGGGAAAAAAAAATGGAGAGAAAAAGCCATTTTAGAGCATACTGACAAATTATGTTTACATTGTATGGAAGTATAGTTATGATTTTTTTCCCTAGTACCTTCTGATCTGCTGGCATTTTATTTACTTGAAAAGCTTTATGATGGCAAAAATGCAAGTTGAGAGGCAGTATGATGTAAAGGTTAAGAACATAAGCTTGAGCCAAACTGCCTGACTTCAAATCCTGGCTCTCTCTCTTGCTAGTTATGTATTAATAAGTCCAAGAACAGATTATTTAATAGCCTCTCTGTGGCTCAGTGTCATCAAAAAAAAAGGGACCAATACTGGTAGCTAGTTCATGTGGTGTTGGTATTAGTCGCTCATTCATGTCCGACTCTGCAATCCCATGGACTGTATCCTGCCAGGCTCCTCTGTCCGTGGATTCTCCAGGCAAGAATACTGGAGTGGGTTGCCATTCCCTTCTCCAAGCTAGTTCATGTAAGTGGCCTTTATTGTTGTTATTCAGTCGCTAAGTCAAGTCTGGCTCTTTGTGACCAGGTTCCGCTGTTCTCCATTGTCTCTCAGAGTGCTCAAATTCCTGTCCATTGAGTCAGTAATGCTATCTAACCTTCTCATACTCTGCCACCCCCTTCTCCTATTGCCTTCAGTCTTTCCCAACATCATGGTCTTTTTCCATTGAGTCAGTTCTTTGCATCAGGTGGCCAAAGTATTGGAGCTTCAACTTCAGCTCAGTCCTTCCAATGAATATTCAGGACTTATTTCCTTTACAATTGACTGGTTGGATCTCCTTGCAGTCCAAGGGACTCTCAAGAGTCTCCTCCAGGACCACAGTTGGAAAGCATCAGTTCTTTGGTGCTCAACCTTCTTTATGGTCCAGCTCTCATTTCCATACATGACTACTGGAAAAACCATGGCTTTGACTAGACTGACCTTTGTTGACAAAGTGATGTCTCTGCTTTTGAATATGCTGTCTAGGTTTGTCATAGCTTTCCTTCCAAGGAGCAGGCATCGTCTGATTTCATGGCTGCAGTCACCATTTGCAGTGATTTGGGAGCCCAAGAAAAGGAAATTTGTTACTGTTTTCACTTTTTCCCCTTCTATTTGCCATAAAGAAATAGGACCAGATGCCATGATTTTAATTTGAATGTCGAGTTTCAAGCCAGCCTTTTCACTCTCTTTCACCTTCATCAAGAGGCTCTTTAGTTCCTCTTCACTTTCTGCCTAGTATGGTATCATCTGCATATCTGAGGTTGTTGAAATTTCTCCCAGCTGTCTTGATTCCAGCTTGTGATTTATCCTGCCCAGCATTTTGCACGGTATACTCTGCATATAAGTAAAATAAGCAGGGTGACAGTATTTAGCCTTGTCATACTCCTTTTCCAGTTTGGAACCAGTCCATTGTTCCATGTCCAGTTTTAACTGTTCCTTCTTGACCCACATGAAAGTTTCTCTGGAGGAAGGTAGGGTTTTCTGGTTCTCCCATCTCTTTAAGAATTTTCCACAATTTGTTGTGATCCACATAGTCAAAGACTTTAGTGTAGTCAATGAAGCAGTAGATATTTTCCTGGAACTCGCTTGCTTTCTCCATGATCCTATGCATGTTGGCAATTTGATCTTTCATTCTCTGCCTCTTTGAAACCCAGTTTATACATCTGGAAGTTCTTGGTTTGTGTACTACTGAAATCTAGCTTGAAGGATTTTGAGCATAACCTTGCTAGCTTGTGAAATGGGCACAGTTGTACAGTAGCTTAAACATTCTTTGGCATTGCCTTTCTTAGGGATTGGAATGAAAACTTTTCTAGTCCTGTAGCCACTGTTGTGTAAGTAGCCTTACATCCATACAAAAATGTACCTCTAGGGACTTTTCTGGTGGTCCAGTGGCTAGAACTCCATGCTCCCAATGCAGGGGGCCCAGTTCCAATCCCTTGTCAGGGAACTGTATCCTGCATGCCATAGCTAAGACCCAGTACAGCCAAATTAATTAATTAATTAATTATAATACCTTTATATAAAGCCTGGCACATAGTAAGCATTATACTAGTGTTACTGTTATTGTATTGGCCTTTGGTAATGAATCACCTGAGCTTTTTAAATATACCACAAATATAACTACATGGGAATTTTGAAGGATATATGAGAAATTTCTAGGTAGGCTCATTTCTTGGTATTTTTTCCTTTCTAACTCATGTAAGTGATATCTACCCTTTGGACTTGTTTCCTCCAGAGTTTATTGTGACTCGAGTGTAGTTATTGCCTCTCCAGAATTAAATCTAGTCCCTCCCTGCCTAGTCTTAGGTCAGCACACAGAGGGAGGTGGAATGAATGTAGGCTCAGAAGTCAGGCAAGAATGCTGGAGGTTGAAATCCAAGCTCTTTGCTGTACTAGCAGAAACAGCTTGTTCAACCCATCTCAGCCTCAGTTTTATGTGTTAAATAATGCTACCTATCTTATAGCACTGTGTTGATAACCTGTGTTTTAAAAAAAGTCAGTGGGATGGAACATAGCTTGATTTGCCTAGGTCAATTCCTGTTTAAGCCTGTGGTTCTGGCACAAGTGTATATAAGTGCCTGCTTTCCCTCCAGAAGCCTCTTGGTTTGGATGATGATTTATATGATCATCTTACCTGTGACAGTTCCTTGCATAGAATTGTCATGCAAATGGCACTGTTACTTTTCTTTATTAATTGTTTGGCATTAATAGGGTTTATGGACCAAGTTCAGCCAGGCAGTGCATAATTAATGAATGCCTCTTATGTTTAAAGTGCTGCTTAGCTGGTATGCCAAATTGCGGTTGTGAAAACACTGATGGGAATTGTAAGTAATTAAAAGGAGATTGGAGATTCAAGGAATAGTTGGTAAAAATATGCTTCTTTATGCTTTTCTAGGTTTACCTTATAAATTTGAAGTACAACAGATGTTAGAAGAACCTCGGTGGGAGTTAGTGTTTGAAAAGACAAGATGGATAATAGAAAAATACAGGCTATCCCGGAGGTATGTGCTGTGGTTTGAGAGGGTTGCACATCTGCAGTGTTCTCATTAAATTATGTTTTAGGGAAAGCCCAAGTTAAGTATAAAACTGTGATATATGGCATCAGTGATAGTTTATTACAAAACTAATGTGTTTATAGTATTTGTTTCATTGGTTTGTTTTCATATTTCTTCCAACAGCAGTGTCCCCATGGATAAAATCTTTCGCCGAGATTCTGACCTGACTTGTTTGCAGAAAGTAAGCTTCCTTCAGTTTAATTGGTTTCATTGTTCATAGACTCTAAAGCTATTCATCTTGATGTGTTTTCCCATGATGCCTGATGCTTTGTGGATACATTTTCTGTGTGTTTCTTTTATTGCTTTTTCCTTTCTAAAGTTAATTTCTAGGAGATAATTAGTAATGTGTTTTGTTGCCCACGCTTGCATATAGAAATAATATTGTTTTAGAACAAAATTTGTCAATGTTGGCTGATTATTATTATACACAATGGAGAGCATTTTTCTTATTTTATTAAATTCAAAAGCACCATGTTTCCATTTAGCTTTAACAATTGATCATTTTTAAAAGTGGTAGTGTAAATCTAACAAATTTAAATGGTCATTTTACTTAACTTCTGGTAGAAAATAAGAGTCTTGAATTATTTTATTTCACTTCTAGTTTTGTTTCTATGAGTGTATTGAGAGATTGGCAAGATTGGTCTTTCTTTTTTTTCTTTTGGTAACAATTTGGAAATAGAAAATTTTAACTTATTAAGTTTCTTCTTTAATATTTTTTACCCCCTCCTATTGTAGTTACTTTCTCTTTGTTCTATCGGAAGATTAATTTACACATTTCCCAGGAATTAGACTCTAGCATCCTGTTTTTGAAATGGTAGAATCTTGTATTTTAATGTACATAGATTTTTATCCCATAGGATTCTTTGCTTTGTAAATAAAACTACTTTAAAAAGCAAAACCACAAGTTTTTAGAAAGCATGATACATACAGGCTCAAGTTTATCTCCTTTTATAAAATCAGAAGGAACTAACCTAAGCATTCCTCAACAATGGTTTCCTACACTTCAGCTGTATGATTATTAAACACAGATTTATCCTCAGCCTCTTTTAAGGAGGATGTTTCTAATTTAAGCACTATAAAATAGGAGATTTGGAAATGGATAAAATGATAGTAATGCAAACCCTCTTCTTGTACTTCTGTGTATTTAAATATAAAACTTTTCTTTTCAACTAGCTTTTGGAGTGTCTGAGGAAAACTCTGAGCAAAGTGACTAATTGCTTCATTGCTGAAGAATTCTTGACTCGAATAGAAAATTTATTCCTTTCCAGTTACCAAAGCAAGCCAGAGAATGGAGTGGCTGAAGAGAACTGGACTGTGGGGCAAAAGGAATTGTTAATGTAATTATCTTAAAGTAAGATATTTTAGTCTTGACATAGTAGATCCTACTTTCAGAGTTATAACCTTGAAATTATTGTTTAACCGTGGTACAATTTGGTTTTTTTTTTTTGCTAGTTCATGAAATCCAAACTTGGCCACATACACCATGTGGCAAGAGAGAGAGCTAGACTTGTTTTCATGTGTGGTGCTCAGAGTGTTGTGTGAGGTGGGGTCGGCCGGCACACTCAGTCCTCCACGGCCAGTCGGGGCCTGAACTGGAGGCCGCCTCCCTGCTGTTTGCAGGTTGAGAAATGGATTGTGTCTCAAATTTTTGCTTCCCCTGAACTAGTCGTTCCAGTTTTGCTGTCTCACGTCTCACTAGGAGCAGTTCCATTCTCTTCATGTGTTTTGTGAGGCTTGTTTATGGTTGCAGATGAGATACGGGTGGGTGGTCACTGAAGTAATGAACATGGTTGAGAACTGCTGGTTTAATGAATCTGACAACATGCTGTGCAAGGCCAGGGGAGGCCTGGGGAAGGGACCTAAAGGAGAGAATCAAATTACCAGATTTTTAATTACAGATATTTGCTTCCATTTTACTTTATAACCGCACTGCTATAGGATATGCCATTTTATCAGCTGTAACATTTTGTCAGGCTTTCAGATACATAATATAATTAGCTTCAAATATAGGTGCCACTTATACTAGTGTTTGTGATAAAACTCAGTTAACTAGAACACAGGTAATCATAACCCTTAAACTAGATTTTTTATATTTCCTCTTACTACCTGCTATGAGGAGAAAGAGGCAAATTACAATAAAACTTAAATAAATCAGATTTGATTTTAAAATCAAAAAATCCTTCCAGGACATATTATGTATTCAGCCCAGTTTTGTATACTTGCTGAATCCAGAACAGGGGTCAGTGGACCTTTTATGTAAAGGGGCAGTTAATAACAGGCTTGGCAGACTACATACCATCTCTGTTGGTCATTCTTCTTTATATTTTTTAACAACTCTTTCAAAATGTAAAACCATTTTTAATTCATGAGCCTCACAAAAGACAGGTTGCTGGCTGTTGTCTTTCCAAACCCTGCTCCAGAGGATTGCAGATACTTAGAATTTATTTTCAAGTGCATGAGCCTGAGCCACTGAAAGGTCTTGCGTCATCTTCATCAGTTTTATCATCTAATCTGGGTATGATTCTGTAATTTGGCCTTTTTTTGGTTTAATGAATATCCAAGGAAAATAAGTCAGTATTGGAAGGAGCAGTGAGCCAGTTTTAGATGATCTGGGTCTTGACTCAGTCTTGTGAATTGGGGGAATATAGTCTGCCTTCTCTGGGCCTAAATTCATGTGTAACTGAGGTCTAAATTATCTTCCTTGCATCCTCCCAGGTCTAAAATCTTGTGATTCATTCTAATTGTGGGACTTACAAACCTGGAGCTTATATTTTGAGGTGGTACAGTTCCAAAATTAATTTTAAATTTTTTTTAAGGAAAGTGGTAGTATTTTCTGTTTTTCTTTATGCGTTTAGGATAATCAGTGAAACAACTTACAAAGCAGTTACTTTGGGGACCAGGGATATTAGAACTGTAGACCAGAAATAGGAAACCTGAATTCTTACCTGATTTTCTTACCAGCTTTGTTGTGCGACAATCACATAAGCTTCTGGACCTCAGGCTCCTCACCTGTAGTTCAGGGGCAGAAAGTGCGCTTCTATAACAGGTAGTGGTTCATTCCTTCTGACGTGTTTTCTTCATTATACCTCAGGGACAGGTCCTAGAAAGTGGTATTAATTAGCTTTCTTAATTGACATTTCCCTGTTATATTGATGAATTGGGGTTGGAAAATAGTGAAAATTAAGAATCTGTTCTCAGTCTGGGTCCTCTGCATGCTTGTGGGTTACTGCATTTAGTAACCTAAGCCATACTATGAGGAACTCAAACATGGTACTGTTCAGAGTTTAATGCTTTGAGAGCACTGTTTTTTTAAGTAGTACTTACTGTTTTTTCTGATGATAGAGTACATTTATCTTTTTAGAAGGTAATTTTTAAAAAACAGAAACCATAGATAACATTGTGGTATAAACCTTTCATTTTTCTTGTAACATCATGTAATTTTGATTATAGTCTGTGATATTTTCCTCCCCTCCTCCCTCATTCATTCCTTTACATTTTTCTTATGATAGTCTTAAAACGTTTTTGCAGCTCTCGATGCCCACATTCCTATCACTGCCGACCTTGGCCTGCTGAGGGCAGTAGGAGTCCAGCCTTGAGAAGCACAGGAAGGCTCAGACTGAGTGGCAGTGTGGAAGTTTAACAGGCAGGGTCTCAGAGAGAAACCTACCTCTGGCAGTGTTTACAGAGTGGAGATAGGACTTGAAAACATCAGAGTCTATTCATCCTGATTTGGTCCTTTTGTGCAAAGACAAGAAAATGATGAGCTTAGTTTTGTTTTGTTTTATTTTTTTCTTTTTCCAGCTTGCCTACTGGAAATTGACATTACAATTACTTCTCTCTTACAGTTTCATCCCAAAGTAATATTCAGAAAAAGAAAAATCAGTGAAATAAGATCCACAAGATCAGAGGCTGTCCCCTTTGTAATTTCAACTTTGGGCCATTGGCCTTCAGTGCTGTATTATAACTTCCGTGGGCCTTAGACACTTTTGCCTTTTTGACCCTCTTCTTCCACAAAAAAACTACTAAAAATTAATGTTACAACTGCATTTGTATAAAATGAATTTAATATTGTATATGCATACATCCTTCCATCTGAAAGTGTTTTTTGTGTTATAAATTTAAAAGAAATTAAAACATTTGGGAGGGCCTCTAAATGTATTATAAACATGAGACCTGGTGCCTAATAGCTCAGTTGACCCTGCCTATGTTCTGTTACCCCTCCCCTATAAACCGACCTCACAAACCCTAGCAGAGCTTTGCCACACAGCCAAAAACACTGCAGTTCCTGTGGCTTTAGATCCACAGACATGAACTTTGGTCTTTACTGACTCCATCAACGTTCAGGACTTAATTGGAACCATTCATCCCCCAAAGAAAGATGGGCTGCAATGGCTAATTTTAGGTTTCAGGTGGCTATTTTGTGCTGATTCTTAATACTTAATAAGAGCCACAGCTCCTGCCACCTTTTTGTTCTTCCTGCATTTCCCTCAAGCTCTTTTTTTTCCATCCCCACTCCCTCACTGTCACCTGTTGGTGTGTAGGTATGAGATCCTTCATTGTCATATGTTGAAAGCAAGGTCTGAAGAATCGAGTTGAACAGAAGCATTCTTGTTTCCCAGCAGCTGCTGCCCCAGCCTTCTCTCCGTAACTTTCCTCCCCCACAGGAGTGGGGCAGGGGCTGTGACATGCAGATTGTTTGGGCAGCGAGGAGACCGTGGCCTCGGCCTGCCACCCTGAGTGGGCCTCTTGCGCCTCAGTTTACCTTCTTCCTGTTTGTCTTGCTGGGCCCTCCTGAACTGAGCTGGAGGACCTGGAGAAACCAATCCAGGCAGGAGGCCCTGGGACTGATGCTCTCTCTGCCCCTACACCACCTGGAAGGCAGCTCCCATCTCAGGACACACACAGTTGGTGTTACTATACTCTTACTATACTCTTCTCTACCCAGAGCTAGAGGCTAAATCTAGAGTCACACATTATGACATTTAGGAAAACTTATTTCACACAAGCACAAAGATAAAAAGACATACATTTGTGTCATCGTCTGTTCCATCAGAGTTAATACAGCATTTAACAAAGAAATTTGATCCTTTCCAGTTTACAGTAGTTTAATAGCTTTCTTACAAATTAATATCATAGTTTGCAGTATTTCCAGAAAACCACTGTGGAGAATAATGTAATATGCTTTAGCTTAAATCCTTACCTTTTCTTAAATGGTTTTAAGCATGCTGTTCCCCCAAACTCTGTTTTTTCATTTAACCTATAATTTGGGCTTTCTGGTATTTTCTAAATCTTTTCTTTTAAGCTTCCTTAAATCTTTTCTAGAGCAAGGCAAAGAGTAAGTATGTTATCCCAGCTAAGTCAGGAGAAAGTCAAATATCCCAGAGAAGCTGTGATTATGCCAGGGGCTCTATACCAAACCAAATTTGAGAAGGTAAAATTAATTCATGATATGTGGGTTGTTTTATTCCTTTGACTGTATTTATGAATATATTCATAAGAACTCCTAATTTCTGCCAAAAAAAAGAAGCCAAATCTGCCATCTTTGAGGTTTCCTGGAGTACTGTCTTAGGAATTAAGAAGTATGTTAACTATGATCTTATAGTTTGTATTCCTGTTTCATAGGTTACCACAGAATATTTGTTTCATATGAATTATAAAATAATATTTAGATTCTAGCATGATTTAAATAGATGGGTCACATATATCTTTAAATTTATGGGTTTGATGTGTAAATTGTGTATTATGTATAAGTTTACTATGATTATTGATAACCCTGTTGCTGTTGTTTTCCCCAAATGTTATTAATATCAGTGTTTATGGAATTTCTTTTATTAGTTTGAATCTTGGAATGTTCTGTACTAAAATATAATTTAAACCATTTTGTACATTTAAATATGATGTGATGTGTATATCTGTATTAAAGAATATTGTAAATATTAATGTTTGTACAATTATGAAAGCTTTTCCTCAAAATAAGTGAATTCTCCACCTTGTACTTAAATTGTGACATAAAATATCTGGTTTTAAACTTTGGGGTTTTATCTTATAAAAATTTAAGGGAAACATTGTAAAGATTCTATATAAGTAAAATTTTGAAAATAAAGTGGTGAATCATTTGGTCCCAGTCTAAATTATTAGCAGCATACATGCTGATTACAAACAATGCCCCCATTAATTCAGCAAATATTTGTTGAGCCTTTTAGGGACACAAAGATGAATAAGGTCTTGGTTCTTTTTCACAAGAATCCTACTACCTAATCCTACTACCTGAAAAATGAGAAACATAGAACCTGACATAAGTAGGTACGACACTAAGATAAAAACTGGAAATGATTATAAATGCCTATAAGATTTCAAGGAAGGGTAAGAGGTGTGTAGATAAATGAGAATTCTTTAGAATGTAAGCAGTGAGATTGATTGCCTGGAAGAGATCACCTTTAAACCTTAATGATATTTGGGGAAGATGTTCCAGGGAGAAGATGTTTCGGAGATAAGTGACCTTGGAGCATAGACATGGAGGTAAAGAATGAGAGAGAATGTTGAGTCTTGGGTTTAAGAGAAAAGTCTCACTGCGGAATTAACTCATTAACTAGTTCTTAACTTCCCAGTTCTTACTTTCTGCAAAACCTATCAATTTGAAAAACAGAACAACAAGGTCAGACTTGTGTATTCAGTACATACATATTTTCAATGTCTGTCCTTTTATTGAGGACTTCCTTCCATCTCAGCACATACACATCTACTCATTCTTTGCAAGCAGTGCATAGCACTCTATGTACAAGTTTGCCGTTATCAGCTTTGAACTGATAAACTTCAAATGTTCCCATTTTTCTATGAAAAGTTATCTAAAACTTCTCTGAATAGATTCCTAGATACTTCACTGCTAGATGAAGATCTGTGTACCCTTTATATTTTGTTAGTAATAGAAAATTTTCAATTTCTACAAGTGAATTTTTCCCATAGTAGAACAGTTCATTATCTTGTTTACAAAACAAATTTGAATTCAGGCTCCTAAATAAAAATAATTTAGGTGGCGAAGTATAATCTTAGGAGTTCTAATTCCATGAGGCATTTATTTCATCGGACGTTCATTCCTGTGTACAGCTGTTATGGGTGCCTGCTAATCAAGCATTTGCTATAGTTTTGATTGGCCAGCATCATAGTCTGTGTATGGCTCCAGACCAGGATTGTCCACAGACCTATTTGTACTGTGATAATGGTTTTTCTAACTGTTGGCTGATGTGTTTCTACATCACTGATTCCCAATTATCTTTCCATAGAATGCTAGCTTAAAAGAAAATAGTATTTGCAGCTGCTGCTGCTAAGTCACTTCAGTCGTGTCTGAGTCTGTGCGACCCCATAGACGGCAGCCCACCAGGCTCCCCCATCCCTGGGATTCTCCAGGCAAGAACACGAGTGAGTTGCTATTTCCTTATCCAGTGCATGAAAGTGAAAAGCGAAAGTAAGTTGCTCAGTTGTGTCTGGCTCGTAGTGACCCCATGGACTGCAGCCTACCAGGCTCCTCCATCCATGGGATTTTCCAGGCAAGAGTACTGGAGTGGGTTGCCATTGCCTTCTAGTATTTGCAGAGTTATAACTAAATTAAAAAAACCAGCTTTTGTCTTCTGTATTTTTTCTGCTATCAAAAACAAGCTTTATCAGTTAATAACTCTGATACCTGTTACCAGGTATAATCAAGGATTCCTCGCCCACCTTCCTCCATTAACAAGTTAACCTCAAAATGTAGAATTGATAGTTCTGAAAGCAAGTTAACTGCTTAGATTATTTTACCCAGATTAGTGATTACTGAACTTTCTTGTGTTCCAAAACACCTGTTAGCTAGAACTCAGTAGTGATTATGGTATCTTTAACCATCAATAGACTTCCCTGGTGGCTCAGATGGTAAAGAATCTGCCTGCAATGAGGGAGACTGGGGTTCGATCCCTGGGTTGAGAAGATCCCCTGGAGAAGGAAATGGCAACCCACTCTAGTCTTCTTGCCTGGAGAATTCTATGGACCGAGGCTTCAGTCCATGGGGTCGCAAAGACTGAGCTTAGAACCATCGATAAATAGGAGATTGTCCACATCAGGCTCCCTTTGTGTAACAAAGTAGTTTAGAGGAAATCTTGATAAGATGGTTTTCTAGAACAGAATTGTCTTCCCAATCACAAAAAATGAGTGGACTAATCCCTGCCTCTCCTCAAACATGCACCCTACCCTAGAGATAGTTTCCTTTTGTGCAAAATCTAATTAGATTGCAACACAATAGAGCTGGAGGGTATGTTAGGAAAATTAAAACTAGCTGTTGTAACATCCTCCCCCCTAATTTTCAATGTCTTAACACAGTAGGTTTATTTCTCACACTGCAGGTTCTCTGCCTGGCTCCCCTGGGCAGCTCCCCTCCCATGGGTAATTCAGGTACCCAGATTCTTTCACATGTGGCTCTGTCCTGTTACTGTAAGTAGACCAGGTGTCTTCCATTTGGGGACAAGTGGATAAGAAAGAGAGTCACACACGATAATTTACCTTGGCTTGGAGTATCCACATCCTTTTTGCTTTCAGTTTTTTTATAAGAACTAGTCATATGGTTAGGTAGCTCAGACGGTAAAGCGTCTGCCTACAATGCGGGAGACCCGGGTTCGATCCCTGGGTTGGGAAGATACCCTGGAGAAGGAAATGGCAACCCACTCCAGTAGTCTTGCCTGGAAAATCCCATGGACTGAGGATTCTGGTAGGCTACAGTCCATGGGGTCACAAAGAGTTAGACACAACTGAACAACTTCACTTTATTAACTTTAGTCATGTGGTCCCACCCTGACACCAAGAGGGGCTGCTCAGTAGAGTCCTGACTGCCGCTGCTTCACAAAATTCTACACTGTGGAAGGAGAACACAAAGCTTTGTTAGTGACTAGCCATTTCTGTCACACATGGCTAGGGTTGGTTTTTTCAAAAATTATGAATCCATCTTCAAATGGGCTCTAAATTACCATGCCAGAACCCTAATATTAAAGTAGAGGGCATTACCTGGTGGTCCAATGGTTAGGGTTCTGGGCTTCCACTGCAGGGACAGCGGGTTTGATCCCGTCAGGCAACTGTGATCCCACAGTGTGACATGGCCAAAAAATAGAGAGGGAGGGAGGGAGGAAGGAGGAAAAGAAATGGATGACTTACCCACCTCAAATCAAAGTTCTTAAAAGTTATAAAGGACCTTGGAAATGTTTGGGCTTAGATTCCCACTTCTAATATGAATAAACCCAAGTTCACAGAAATGAAGCAACCCGTCCAGTCACATTGGTCAAGTTTGTAGCAAGGTTATTTCTAGAAAAACTCCAGTTTTGCTATTGCACCATCCTTTTGAGTGATTCCAAATTATTTTTAATTTCACAGCATAAAGTATTATTCTAAAGATTTTACGTGCAATTCAAATGTTCAATATAATTTATGTTTTAATTTAAAATATAATTTTCTTTTAGAACTGCAAGTTCTAATGAATGCCCAGAATGTGAATTTTATGGAAAAGTTGACTAAAGAATTACTATTAGAAGTGATATAATTAATGACACTTTATTGGCTTTATGTAAGATTAGCTTTATTAACTGTATCTAAGATGAAAGAACACCAAATCTTTGCTGTTTGCTTATAATCCACAAAGCTACGTTTGTTCCATCATTTTAATGAAAATGTTAAACCACTAGAGGGCGCTCCATCACAGTCTATGAACTCGACGATCTCGGTCCTGTAGTGTTGATTGGCTTTGCAAAGTCAGGGAAAGTTGCACATCTGGCTAAACTTACAGACACGGTAAAACATTCACTTGTCTAGTACCTTGATCCTGTGTGATCTTGGGGTGAGTGTCCTTGTTTCATGGTATCTCCAAGTAGCCATTTTCATTTTTGAAGTTTTCATTTTGAAGGTATTACAGTAATAGCTTGCATCCTTCTAAATGCTGTACCTATAATATCACATTTATTCCCCACAACATCCCTGCAAGAAGTTTTATTATTCCCACTTCAAACTTAACTTTAGGAAATTCCCTGGCGGTCCAGTGGTTAGATGAAGAAGGAAATGGCAACCCACTCCAATATTCCTGCCTGGAAAATCCCATGAACAGAAGAGCCTGGTGGGCTACAGTCTATGGGGTCACAAAGAGTCAGACACGACTGAGCACACACATGCCAGTGGTTATGACTTGGCGCTTTCATGGTCAAAGGCCTGAGTTCAATCCCTAGGCAGGGAACTAAAATCCCACAAGTTGCATAGCACAGCCAAAAATAAATAAATAATAAACTTAGATTTAGAATGTTTAGGTAACTTATGCAAGGTCTTGCAATGAGAAGTAGCAAAAACAGAATTCAAACTGTTCAAAATCAGCTCACCAAACTATCATGTTACTGGTTTCAGAGCTGCAAGAAACCTAAGAAACAATTTAGTTCTTAATGAAGAATTAAATTTAGTTCTTTAGTTTTAGATGAGAGAAATAATACCCGAAGATGAAGAGTGACTTGTTCAAGTCACAGATTCAGTCAAGGCCAGATTGAGAAATCAAGGTCTTCCCATTGTCAGGGTTCCTGGATCACATCATATGGGAATCCCTGCCTTCTCTAGGGCAGTCAAAGAAATCCTGTGCTCACAGACGCTGCACGGTGCTGCACCCTAACATGGCAGATGAAGTCATTGGATTAAACATACAATTGTCTGTTGCCTAGACAATAGGGCTTCCCAGGTAGCTAAAGAATCCACCTGCAATTCAGGAGACTCGGGTTTGATCCCTGGGTTGAGAAGCTCCCCTGGAGAAGGAAAAAGCAACCCCCTCCAGTATTCTTGCCTAGAGAATCCTATGTACAGAGGAGCCTGGCAGGCTACGGTCCATGGGGTTGCAAAAGAGTCAGACATGACTTAGTAACTAAACAACAACCTAGACAAAAGAAATGGACCTTATGGATAGAAATTTGCTCTAGATGGTTCCCTGTCTTTCCTATTACAGCCAAGTCTGGAAGAAGCAAATTCATAAAAACACCTTGCATTTTCAAAAGTAATTAATCTCTCTGCCTCCAATAGGTCTCCCTACCTCCTCCGCACCCCAGAAGGATTTTCTTTTTCATGAAGCATGAATCTGAAG